CAACGACCATTGCATTTGTCTATATTAGTAGGTACTTTTATAAGACATTTTTTTTGCATTTTCTACAAATCTATTCAATACGTCTCGTGACAATCCCGTGAAATGTTTGGCACCGCTCCGAAACACCCGCTCGATACGCGACTGAGTGACGCCTTGTTCCTACATAGATTTGGATTATTTTGTTGAGAACAGAAGATTTAGTTTTAGCTATTATTCATGTATTAGATTAATATGGTAATACTTTCTTAGATTTACTCAAGAACTGCTGGACCGATTTTCATGGTTTTTGGTTTGTTGGATTTGTCTTCGTCCCGAATAGCAGAATAACTATTAAAACATTAGAAAAAATCACGAAAAAAAAATATGTCTAATGCTGGCTAACGTACCTAGGCACGAATCCGAGCGAAGCGAGGGTGGGCCGCTACTTTTAAATTAAACTATCGTTTCGGATTTTTTTCGCGGATTTCTTTTTATTTTTGGTTCCCAACGTTTCAAATGTTTTATAGCAGTCATAATCTAGGGAGAGAGAAGATGGTATGAATGATATAAAACCGTTTTAGCTATAAACTATAGTAAACGGTTTTTCATAAGTAAATATGATTCGAAAATAAAAGAAATATGCCTTACTCCAGGTTTCAAATCCATTCAGATGTTATAACGTTTTCTAGTAACCAACGTGATGATGATCATGAATCATGATGTCCTCCTGACCGATTTCGGCTACGGTGGCCAATTTCACTAAGACTACCAACTGCACATAAGGTATTATAGTGCACAATGTACCCACAAACACAAATACACTCTTTATTCCTATCATACCTATATTCCGGTGGAATGATAAATCAACATGACCAGTGTAAGATCATGAGCATGATTGACTTTACTAACTGACTGGGTTTTACTTACGCTCTGACCTCTGAGAACCGGGGGTGAAACACCACCAGATTCACAGCTCCGGTCTGTTACTGAGACTTCCTTAACAGAAAGACTCAATAACTAAACTTGGCCCAACCCGGGATTCGAACTCAGCACTGGATCTGCAGCCTTTATATAAACGAAACACGGTATTGAAGAAAAATCACATCAATGGATGGTAAGCGAACCAAAAACCTCATCTTAAATTTAAAAAGTAATCAAATATTTACAACACATAAATAATGCGCACTCTACGAAATACCCTTCCATCAGATTCCTTGGCTTTTATTGCATTTTATTTTGGCGCGACCCTCACGTTCATTCACCAACTGTCAAGATTTCAAACGCTCAGACATATAGGTACAATTATTTATAGAGCTACACCAATATTACTCGTATAAGGTAAAGTTTGTAAGTTTGTATGTAGAAGGTTAACCTACGAACCTACTCATCTGATATCATAAATTCTTTCACGAACGAACACTCAAGATGGACATAGGCTGTATATTATCCGTTAAAATAAAAGGCCTTTTCGAGGAGACCAAGTCTGCAACATAAGTCGACGAAAAAAATGAAAATAAATCGCGACTTACGCACAATTGTGACGAAGTGATTCTAATCTGGAGTAAGAAATACGGTTGAGACTTGAGATTTAGAGAGAGAGGGTTTATTGTAACGTCACAGACAAAAATGCGAACTAAAGCTAGTTTTTGCTAAAGTTTCAAGAATCAGAGCCTTGTATACCTAGGCCAAAGACTTACCATTTCTAATTTTATTGAGATAAATTTCTATAATATGTACAATTCCTCTTGCTATAGGTCAAAATCATATTTAAATCCGTACAGTAGTTTCTGAGATTGGTCCGAACAAACATACCTACTCGTCAACTCGGCGCCGCTATGAGGAACTTAATTTATAATATGTAGATACATCATTAATTGAAAATTATCTACTTAACTTCTATTTTCTACAAAATACCGAAATTTATCAAAACGCCTTTAATAAATCTACATAAAAGAAATCCAGTAGAGACCTTTAGAGCCTTTTGGCAGTAAACACTCAATTCCTTTGCCTTACATGTTATAAGCAATCAAGTGAGTAATTTATGTCGCGCCGTTTTAAATTGTATAAAAATCTCAACAAGATGGCGTCAACATTTCGTACGTTTCGATTTACAGTAAATGTTTTCATTTTCGCTCACTTAGGGTGCGTCGTGAATCGTAATTTCTGCGACGATGAAGCAATTTTAAGAGGTATAATAAAATTTTCATAAACTTTTACGATCGAATAGCGCTTTAGCACTAAAATTGTAATAATATTTGTTGTTGTTTTCTTGATCATTATCACCTAATCTTTCTTGGACTTTATGTTGAGCAACTTACTAACGAATATTTATAGGTTAAAAAAAAGCATAAAATTATTGTGTTAATTCTATAACCGGTAATTGATTTTAACAATTGTGGAAATCGGCTAATTATTAGTTTTTAATTCATGTTAAAACTCAGACTCAAGAATTATACTCTAAGTAGTTTTCGTCAACAGATGTAAAAATATTTTAGTAAGTAAAAAATTTGCTTCTATTCAATAATTCAAACAAATATTATCTATATATATTAGAATAAAATTGTAACTAACCCGAATCTGTACATTAGATATTTTTTGGAAAATCTTATTGAAATAAACATTATTATCGATACAGAGGCCGAATCTAGTTTTTAGAATTTTTTTCTGTCTGTCGGTCTGTCTGTTACCGCATCACAGAAAAACCACTGGAGGGATTTTATCCGGGTCAACATATTATAGGATATTTTTACCATGGGAAAATATCTCATTTTTGAGAAAAAATACAAAAACTGCAATGTAAAAGTATGCTATTATGTAAAACCTAAGAATTTAGTTTTTGGTCATCTGACGCGGGCAATGCTAGTATTTAATATAAACATACTCTGATTAAGATTGTATGTTACATAATATTATCTGGACTACTAAAAATAGTCTTTTGTTTATCCATTGATGGTTTTTAGCGCGAAGTCAGAATTTCAAACAAGTAGAAGGAGCTAACAAAACCAAACCTCCGGTCTTAATAATATAGATCCTGCGTTCTATAGAAGCTAAAGCAAGGCAAGTTGTAGGACTTGACCTATAAAGAGTACCTAACTATTTAATATTTATGTATAATGTCATCATAAAAAACATATACACACGCTATACATATATATATATATATATATATATATATATATATATATATATACGCTGGATTTACACTACTATTACTAGGGGCACTCGGGGCTAGTGCCCAGGGCGGCCAATTTTTAGGGGTGGCAAAATTCGGAGGGTGGGAAAAAAAAACTCTTATTTCTACCCGACTGTAAGGCAAAGGTTATATTTTTCGCGCCTATCTTTGTATGTTTGTTTGTAATATTCTTTATTCATTATCTTCCAAACCACTGTATGGATTTCATTAATTAAGGTATCGTTAGATTCGTCTTATTAGTCCAAGTGTTCTTAGATAGGTGACATAAAAAAATGGGGCTGCTAGATTTTATTGTATAAGGTGAAAATTCATTTTTTATCTTCTTTTTCTGCGATATGGGTATCAAATTAAAGGGCTTATAACAAGGATTCCAAAAAGGTATAACATCCCTGTATTACTTAAAATAATTTAGGATAAAAAAATTGCTAAATATGACTTGAAATGTCTAAGTAATTGACAAAACTAAAAAGCTGTAAATAAAAAAAATATATTATAAAAATAAAAAACCCGACTGCATAAAAAAAACAAGTTGACGAAGGAATATAGTATTATGCAGTCGGAGACATGATGATATATACATATTATGTGAATACATCTCGTGGCAAGGATGAAACGTGTATCTGCGACCACATAATACTACGAGTATATTCCATCGTGAACTTGTTTTCATCTTTTTAGTTAACTTTTATGCAGTCGGGTTTATTATTTTTATAATATATTTTTTTATCCAAAAATGATTAATAAAAAAAAATAGTAGATTTTTCGAAAAATTGAAATCATTTCCATATTTTTTTGCATTTAAAAAAAATTAAATAATAATTAAAGAAATTAAACTTTATCAAAACTTTACCCATTACCTATATTGAAAATTTTAAAGCAAGCGTTAAAGTTGAATCCGGCACTACATACACATATTATCAAGAGTAGGAGTGTTGAAAATTGAAAGTAACTACTGATAAAAAAATTATAGTTACTGTTAACTGCTAAGTATATTTAATTTATTACTTAAAAGGTACTAATGTCGTTGGGAAATCTTACCATCACTACATTTGACTCGCGAATCTTTGATGGAACAACGGCCTTACTCGGCAGTCGCTATTCGCTAATGAATTATCTCCATTAGCTATGTCGATTGCTAAGATAATGCACTACATAAGTTAATACACCAAACTGTGCACAACGTCTGGGCTGAGTAGTCGTTGACTGTGCACAATAATTATTGACCAGAATTGTTTATTTTTATAGAATCTAAGCATCGACGAATATTAAAATTTAATGAGCTTTCTAAAAAAATTATCAAGTTTATACAATGAAAAATAATATTTTCTCTATAAATTTTTGCATTTACAATAAAAAATATCACTTCTTTACATACTTAATAATAACAAAATTAAAAGAAATAAGAAAAATTTAAAGTAATAAGAAAATGTTTCAAAATTGCCAACATTAAATTTATGAAGTTTAAAGTTTTAAATGCAGTGACATCTAGTGATCGGAGTAAGCAACGTTACACTATAAGCCGACATAGATAAAGTTAAATACCAGAACTAAGTTTATATTATGAAAATATCTATTTTATTATTTTGTAACTTTATCATGTAATAAGTAAAACGAGACTTCGATTGCATATAAATATTTTAAAAGTATAAAATGTGTTATTGAAATGTTACTTATCTATAAAGAATGCATCCATATTGCTTCCGCAATTGACAATTGTAATGTTGGCAGCACTACCATTTCAATTTCAAACGGTTTTCGATTGTGTAGTGTTTTAGAGCGTTTGTCAAATTTATGAAACTTTTATGAAAGTAAAGCTGTTAATCCAATTATGTCAATTTTCAATGAATTAGTACTACCAAAAATCATTGAAATATCAAATGAGATAACAAAGAATTTTAATGATGATCTTAAGGTGAATAATTCTTATAAATATGTCGTAACGTAATTTACTTAGTGTCTTCGAAAGTTTCCGCATGATTTATATTAGATTTATTTGAAAATGTGGTGTTATATTGTGATATTTTTAAGTAGTTTGTGATAAAGTGTGTGACAATAATTCGTTTTCAGGCCGCGTTAGAGTGTTTCGATAAATTTGAAGAAGAATTTCTAAATGGCAAAGGCAGAACGCGGGAGACACAGAAAGATAAAAATGCTACGACGACCCTTCAAAGCATAAATGAGGATGAAGGTCTGTGCTGCTTTTAATTCTGCTTATATATATAATGCTTTTGTAAATTTAGTGTAAATATAATAAACTTTATTAATGTTACTACCATATGTTTGAATCCTGAGTACTCAGTCTTAAAACAGATGTCTGTTTATTGAGCTAGAACTTAAGTGTAAGATTATTTTATCTTAATCTTACCAAAAAAAACAAATGACATTTAAAAATATCTTTTTAACAACATAAGAAAGAATAATATGTATTTGTAAATCAAGTCAATACTATCATCATCGAAATCAACAAATCAAAATAGATATAAATTAAGTTTATTACATATCCTGCATGGAGAATGGAAATAACTATTTTTTCACCAGTTACAGCTGAGCTTCCACTGGTCACTCAACTCGATTAATGTTGCAATTATTTATTTTATTGAATCTTAAAATTATTGTCATATAATTGGTAGACCTGTAAATTGTATTAAAAGTAAAATATTTTATTTTTCCTTATATTTAATTTGGTTTGAATATTATATAATTAAAATACTTTTAAAACTTATTATGAGAAATTTTTAGATGAATCTGTTAAGTCCAATGAAAAATCAAAATCTTCTGATAGAACATCAACAGAAAGCACTGAGCGAAGAGGCTCAAAGAAGAGAAGTAAACATGAAGTGGATGGTATTGAAAGTCCTGAAGTTGAAAAACGCCAGAAACGCAATGCATCTGTTAAAGCACAGAGTATTATTACTAAACAGGTAAAGTTTTAAAATGTATATATTTCTTGGTTTTAATTAAAGTTTTTTTCCACTGTGATGAACAAAAATAAACTTTAATAACAATAAAAAATACACTAGGCCTGTATTGTGAATACCACAAGTCGATTGACAACAGAAATATTGTTGCTCGTTAAAAATTGCTAGCAAGAGCTATATAAAATAAAGAAATAATCTTACCTATAAAAATAAAAATAAAAGTATTCTGTGCATGTATAATATTACAATAAGTTGCACAGAAATGTAAGATGAATATCGTTATAACAAATTGTACTTTACTGCCGTTTAACACACCATATAAGAGACATGCCCGATTTTACAAACATCACTTAAGCTACCACCTACGAATGGGATCCCTAGTTTAAAAGTTCCCCTAAACTAGCCCCTAAATTAAATTTCGTTTGTCATCGTCAGAGCCGGTATTTCTAGCACCTATATTTAGGTGGCATTTTATTATTTTTTTTAATTTTTAGGTGACCCCTAACTATCGATGAAACAGAAACTGTCCCCTAACAGCCCCCTAACCATGCTTAACGGAACCCTTAAACTTAGGTGACGTTGGTGAAATCGGCTAATAGGCTATCAAAATTTCCCCTTAGCTTTAGACTGGTCATTGATGAATAATTCTAGACAAACAAATTTGTAGATTTTATATTCTTATATGTTTTAATGCAGGTGAATGTAAATTTAACGCAAAAAATGCGTCGTGAAGGCTCACTAGAGAAATCTGGCAAGAGTCGCCGCCGGAAGGAAGATGATAAGGAAAATGCTGAACCATTGCCCGTTGTACAAAGTAACTATACATTTAATTATAAATATAAAATATACTACTAAAATTTGAACATAATGACCCTTCTTAAAATGGAAACATATTGTAATAGATTGTTATCCGACTGCGTCAGAAGGAGGGTTATGTTTTTCAAGTGTATGTATGTATATTTCTTTGGCACACTTTGTAGCCTAAACAGCTTGATAGATTTTAGCTTAAGAAGTGTTGTTAGATTTGTCTTTATTGAGTAATATTTTGTTATAATGAATTAAAATTATAAATTCAGAGTATTATTTGTGAAATTAAGTTCTAACAGTAAAGTAAATTTTAAAATATAACAATTGTAAGAGTTACATTATTTACTATTCATTTTAAATAAACTTTTAGCAATTTAAAAATTTTCAACTTTTATTTAAACATTATCAAAAAATGAGTTTTCAAATATGATGTAATAATTTCTGTAATTTGTCATGTTTTTTTGTAAAACCAGATAACAAATCAAGCCAATCTGATGGTATACTGCATTATACAAATCAGTTGTCTTTGGTCTCATTTGATACATTTTAATGCATGTGGGATGATGCATATACACAAAAGTTGATTTGTTAGTCAAGAGCATTAATCAAATAAAGTACTACATACATAAACACACCAGCGACAAAAAATGTCGTCACCGAATGAGCGCACATTTGAACATTTGAGTGTGCTTTTAATTACTTTTTTTTTGTGAAAACAACTAAGCATTGCATTTAATGTTCAATTTACATTGTTGTTTATTTATTTCTACTGGAAAAATTACCTAAACACAATTCATGACAGTTATAAGAGAACTTTTGCATGGGATTGTGATATATAATACTTTTTTATCATTGATCAAGAGCCTACTTTTTATGTTTTTAATACTATTTTATAATTAGTATTTAAATTTTCACAGTAAAACTAGAAAAGATCTCAATGCCACCTGAGCCTATGAAAGTGGAACAGGAGGATGAAATAGCAATGCCTCCACCTCCTGCGCCTGTACCAAGTAAGTAAAATTTAAATTGAATTTTATATTATCATTCACATACTCACCATAGTGTTCTTGAACTCGAATCTCTTTGATATTTTGTATAAATATTCCTACCATATCAATCAACTCAAATTTGAATCCTGTAGGATCAAGACATAGAATAGTTGTAAATTTTTTTTAAATATTCTCATACTAGCCCATTCTAGTTTCTATAAAAACATAAACTCCTCAAAAACAATATAAAGCAAACTGGGAACTCATAGATTTTCTTTGATTGAGATTGACTCAGTAAGTAAAGATGGCTAGGAAAATTATCTTGCCAAGTCTATACTGTCTGTCTGACATCTTTTAATCTATATGTTGAAAAAAATTAACTTCAGTTAACATCACATCCAAATCCTAATAAATAAACTTGTGTACTTTTTAGAGCCACGTAAAGCGTTGCAAAAGGAGAAGGAGAAGGAAATAGAGCCGGTAGAAGAAGAAGGTTCGAGAAGACGAACCACACGTACTCGCAAACAGACGGACAGTTTGCCTCCACAGCCAGGTATTGGGTGGTTTTATATTTAAAGTTCCATATCTAAAGAGCAAAGAAGGCAGTGGTAGTCCAGTGGCAACGCGCTTGGGAAACCAAGTGAGGCGGGCTCAAATCCCGGGTCACGCACCTCTGATATTTCCATATGCGAATTATTTCCATCATGATTACCACTTGTCTTACTGTGAAGGAGAGCATCGTGAGAAAACCTGCATGGCTGAGAGAACATACGTTATAGGTTCTCAATTGGTCAAAATCTGTTTTTTTTAATGTATGTTCACCAATCACTCAAGGTCGGTGCCAGCCGACAATATTTTAAGATATGAATATATAATAGGTAAATATGTGTTTTACGTATCGAAATATATTAGAATTGCTTTGCATCTGCTGGCACCGATTTCGAAAATATCTGATTAGGTATCTATTCTAAATAAAAACCCTTGTTTAGATATTTTTTACATTTTAGTGCTTGGAAGTCGGTTTTTATTTTATTTTTAATTTTTTTTTAAACATTGTTTTCACTGTTGCTTAGAGAAATTGGACAAAACTGATACAGTCTGTTTTTGGGTGATTTTAAAAAAGGAAGAAGGAAATTCTAGTACATTTTTTTTACACATCACTTCTGTGATTAACTTATCTAAATTGTCTTAAATTTAATGAAATTATTAGAGTCAATTTATTCACAGTTTATATTAAGCAAAAAGCCATAACATGAACTTGTATGAAAATGAAATAATATACTATTTATTTAAAGTTGGTTTTTGTAATTTTATTTGCCAACAGCATCAAACAGATCGACCAGGGCTAGTTCTCGAACAACAAGACAGAACGAAGAAGAAGTTCCACCGCCTGAGACAAGGCCAAAACGAACAAGAACTAAGAAGGTTATTTGCTCTTTGGTTGTTTATCTTATTTGGTTGTCGTAATACTTTCTAACGCGAATATTTGACATCTATACTAATATTATAAATGCGAAAGTTTGTAAGGATGTATGGATGTTAGTTATTCTTTCACGCAAAAACTACTGAATGGATTTTAATGACACTTTACAATAATATAGCTCATACATCACAATAACACATAGGCTACTTTTTTCCCACAAAAATGTACAGCTCCTGTGGGATAAATTGGTCTTTGTTTTTCCGTTTTATTTTGATCTTTGGTTAAGACCAAAAATCAAAATGAACCCGCGAAAAAATCCTAAAAGATAGTTTTATTTATTTGGTCGTGTTGAAAGTATTCATGATAATTAAAAAAAGAAATAATTAGCACCATTTTGTTAGTAAGAAAAAATATTAAAGCTATTTTTGGAACTTTTTGTTAAAGTATATAATTTTAAATTTATATTATAATTCAAATCAATATTGATTAACGTTCAAAAAATAAAAATATATTTACATAATATATAACACACCTACATATGTAACTTGTAAAATAATTGGGAAATATTAATTTTTAATTTGTAGTTAGCAGAAACCTCAACAACAACGGACAGTGAAAAAGGAAGTCAAGAAAACGGAGCAGGTATTTAATCATTAATATATGTAGTTAATACGAATTTTTTTTTGTAATTGTTCGTTTGTTTGGCAGTAATGGCTAAACGAAATAAGATGAAATTCAAAATGGAAATGGCTTATATCATCCTACTTTTTGTTCATGCTTATTATGAATTGGAATTAAATGTAAATATGTAAAGGCTAAAAATTCTTTTTATACTTTACAAATAAATAAAATGCAAATAGTTGGAACTGTTTTTACTTACATACAAAAAAAAATGTTTTGATTTTTAATATTTTAAGTAGTGTGTAAAATTGTATATTATTCCAGCTTCACCGGCCGAAAAACCAAGACCAAAACGCACAAGGAGAGCTCAAAAAGCCGCGTAAGTATAATAAATTATAGTTAAAATCTTGAAAATGAGAGAAATTATCATAAAAATATTGATGTATTATAGCATTTGAAACTTTAAAAAGTTACGATTTTGTTAAACTTTGTAGTGAAAAAGAAGTAGAAAAACCACAAGAACCAGAAAAGCCACAAAAAGAAGTACAACAAGAGGAAATTCAACAAACTCAACAATCTGTACTTTTGATATCACCGAAAAAGGAACGGATATCGGTACCTGAGCCAGAAATACAATCACCAGTTCTACAGACAATTAAGAAAAACAACAATAAAACCAAAGACAGCAATAAAACAACAACAATGATTCAAACGAATGTAAAGAACGAAGAAACAATTTCAACGAACAAAGATGAGGAAACTGCAAATGCATTGGATAAAACAAAAGTTATTAATAAAATTGCAAGTGAAAGCAACAATATGGATAAAACTGTTGTTTTACCTAACGGAGTCTACAATCATGCTCCCGTTACACCTAAGAATGTGGTGAGAATTTTTATTATTTAAAGATTAAATTGAATTAAAACTATTATATCAGCATAAGTTACATTTCTTTATAATAACCTCAAAGTAAGCTAATTTCCAATTGTAAGTTGCTTAAAAGATATATAATATGAGGCTCTTCGAGAGTTGTGTTTTCAGGCCCCGTAAAGGCTGGCAATGCATTAGCAACTCTTATGTTGCAAATGTCTATAAGCAACCATAGGCATTTACCATTATGTGGATTGTTTGCTCGTTTGCCCATTATTATAGAATAAATAATAAATATTTTTTGAAGTGAAAACTTGTATAGGCGGGTTTGGATTTGGAGTAAATTCATGTAACTCGTTATCGACATGGTCACGTGACGTGTTAACGCTAACACTCAGAGTGCCGATAATGTAAAACCAGATACATGTAAACAGTTTTAATTTACAAATTTTAATTTAGGATCAAACAATTAATTTGAATATCCAAAAATAATAAATGTTTATAGTTTTAAGTTTTCGCTTCTGTCGACAGTCCATATGACTGCTTTTTATAGAAATATTTTTTGTAGTATAAGAATTTTTTTATAGAATAAGACTGTAAAAAACATTACTACGACTTTAAATAACATTATAGGCATAAGTATTGACAATTGAAAAAATAAAATAGATATTTTTTTATTGGTCAAAATGTTATTGGTTAAAATGAGTTCTTGTTACTACTAAAATTAATATAAAAATTTCTTTATTCTAAAGGAAACGAATTAAAAAAACAATTACATAGCTAATTACCCACTTCATAGATCAATTATGAACTTAAAAATAATATAAAAAAACTTTATGAATAACAAACACTGTGAAATATGTAGTACATTAGTTCAATTATTTAATTATATATTTTTTTTTAATTTTTTAGAGGCAAATGAATGAAACAGTTGTATTAGAGAAATGCAACCAAACTGTTGTTTTGGACAAACCAACAAATGTTATAATGGATGCAACAGTCGTCATAGATAAGGGTAAAACTATTTTTTTTATTTTCACTTTAGATATTAAATACTCTTTACTGTGCACACCATATTAAAGCACAACAAACACAAGTAAAATAACTACAGATATTAACATAATTACAGATCCAAAAGGAAGGAAACTAACAGAAGATAACTCCCTGTTGACGGACGATGAGTCTCTGGAGCACACGCCGCCCAAGCAGCCTCCAGTACTGCAGCCCACGTGAGTATACAATATGAAGTCTCGTTGAAATTGTTTTTTATTTATTTATTTATTTATTTTTTTTAGGGAAACAAACAGTACGATATTACATAAATAATTAATAATAATAAATAACACATGAAGTTTCCACAAATTAAACAATACACATATGAAGCATGTTAAAGTGAAACTTGTTAAGAATTGTTGTGATTTGAAACGAAAATGCGACACTAGAAAGAGACAAACACATACAACACACGAGAGAATGAGATAGAATACATTGCCATGTTGCCATGGTTACCATTGTTTTTGCCTGACAAATTTAAATATTATATTCTTTCTGTATAGGATATTCTATAAATATATGATTGTAAATATGCCCTATTTAATTATTGATTTGTTTTAATTTAATTACGATATTTGCCAAAGAAGTTTTACTTCAACTGTGCGTAAAGGTTACACGCACCCATTTTTTTTTGTTTTGCGTGTGAGATGTAAGATCATTCCCAAGGTATATAGCATATTTATTAAGAATAATTAAAAATAGTAATTGCCGAAAATATATATAACAGACAGGATAAATAACAAAACATACATAGTAACTTCATTTTTTTTAAATTGATCAAAAAAGCTAGTAGATAGAGACAAAATATTCTATAACACAAACTTTTAGGTTATTCTTAAAATTTTAGTCACAAATATTCTGATTGAAAGACCATAACTTCTGAAATGAACCTGAGAAAATTTTAATTTATGAAAACAATAATGTTGCCAGATCTGCTGTTAAAGAAAAAGTGCAGCAATTCGAAGAAATGGCGACCAGAGTCACCAGAACTAAAACGCGGGCCATGGCTAAAAAGGTACTATAGTTATTTCACTATTTATTCAATAGATTAAGCTTTTACTCTGCGAAAAAAATAAAAAAATAAAACCGGTCAAGTGCGAGTCGCACTCGCACACGAAGGCCCAAGTTCGAAGCATCGTACAACATATAACACTATACTTTTTAAATACTTTTGTAAAAGGAACATGAGAGACCATACTTTTTTTTTGCATGGCAGCCATTTTAAATTGGCCTTCTTGATTTTTTGTTAAGGTGGCAATAGAAATCACACTGAAAATTTCAACTTTACATGTTATGGTTCATGAGCTACACCCCAGTGACAGACAGACGGATTGACAGCAGAAGCTTAGTAATAGGGTTCCGTGGGGCCCTTTAGGTACGAACCCTAAAAAAAAGTAAATTCAATCGATTTCATTTCTTGCAGGAGGAGGAAACAGAAAATCAAACGCCACCGGACAAAATATCCAAAGCAGTACTATCGAGTGACACTCTCACTAAAATGAATAATATGATCTTTAATGGGAAAACGCCGCAGGTGATTTTTTTTAAGTACTAAAAAGTATTATAATACTTTTTTGCCCGCACTTAATTTGTTTAGCTGTTAACAGCATGAAGTAATAAACACTTAGTAATAGGTATCTGTGTGAAAAATCTAAAAAAATATTCATAGTATTTCAATGTTATAGTTTTAAGATATATTTTTTCTTATTATTTAGACTAATTTTATTATCTACTTTGCAAACATCTGCCCTTATGGGATAATGGCGAGATTGATTATTCTCAATTGTCATTCTTCATACCTATTCCCTTAGTTATCAACAGAAATAATAGTCTTACGCGGAATTCAAATCCGCTACCACCATCAAAATGTCACACACCAGACTTATGTATCTTTAATAAATATTTTCAGATATCCACATCAGCAACTAAACCCCGGGCGAATACAATTACAAAAACAATGTTACCAACATCAACGAGCAAACTGAGTGGCACCCGGACAAAGGAAGAAGAGAGGATAGAGAAGGAAGATGCTCGTAGGAAGAAGGAAGCCCTTTTGGAAGCTAAGAGGGAGATGCAGAAAAAGTAAATATTTTTATATAATATATTTTTAACTATCTATAAATTCTCAATACACGATAATAACATCATCATTGTTTTAAAAATAGTGCAAAGTGGATTCGAACCCCGGGTTTCGGACTTTAATGTTTTAATCTCATTTCCATGCTAATAACAATTTTTTTTTTTTACGAAATTTGCATGTAAAAGAGAACGTTAATAGTTGTAAAATAACAAGTGAAATAAAAGCTTGTAAAAACCCCATTTCATCAGTGTATAAAATGTATAGATTTATTAATATTATTTTAATACAGTATGGAATGGATTATAAAGTAGGCCTAATAAGTTAAAAAGCATACATTGATAGATATATAAAAACATAGATACACATTTTCTTAAATATATTTCTTATAAAGTGTCGTCGGCATGTGACGTTAAGTTAAATCAAACAATAAAATTCAAAAATCGAAAGTAATCAGCCCCCACCACGACAAGGTGAACACACGTTGGGGGAGATTTATATATACATAGTAACCCAGCCCCAATGCTACGAGCAGGAAGCGCGAGGACAAGATGGCGGCGGCGGCGGCGGCGCGCGAGGCGGCGGAGCGCGAGCGCCGCGCGCTGCTGCAGGCGGCGGCGCGCGAGCGCAGGGAGAAGCAGGCGCACGCAGACATGGGCAAGATGGAGCGGCTGCGGGAGGTCGAGAGGGTGCGTAGGCTTTATTGTTGATATTATTTATCTATACTAATATTATAGAGAGGTAAAGTTTGTGAGTTTGTGGTGGTTAGGGGGTAATCTTTGGATCTGTAAATGGCTGAACCGATTTAGGTGAAATTTGATATGAAGATAGTTTGAGACCCCGGGAAGGACATGGGATATTTTTTATCACGGAATTCGTCCTTTACGGAGGTGAAAATGGGGATTAAATTTGAAAATTTTCGAATTATTCGATTCGAACGATATTCGCACACCCCTAGTGCCAATAAATTCAACTCAAAAATTAAAATGAATCTGCGATAAAATATAAATAGTTTTATTTAAAAAGTATATTTGTATGTGTGCGTGTGCAGAGGAAGCAGGAGGTGGCGCGCAAGGCGGCGGAGACGGAGGAGCGGCGGCGCGCGGAGGAGGCGGCGCGGCGCCAGCGCCTGGCCGACGACCTGCGCCGCGCCGGCGACCGCGCGCGACAGCTCGAGGAGGCCGAGGCGTGAGTACACACGTACACACACACATACATCACACTGGCGAAGGGTCCATACAAGACGTCTTACCTTAAATGTATTTTGCTATAATTTTACATACATTTAATTTTTTAAATATATAAATGTCCTTTTGGAAAGCTTTATTTCTTTCTGCGTTAATATGTAGTACCTGGGCGACCGAGCTTTGCTCGGAGTTTTTGGCCAAAAAAAAACATTAAAAAAAAACAAACAAAGAATTTGAATAAATACAAAAAAAACAAAATTAAAACTTTGTGTCAGACCGGGATACGAACCCAGATACCTGTGGTTGTCAAACTTGCGCATTGACCGCTTGACCATGATACTTATATCTGAGAGTGCGAAAATATCGAACATAATATTTTGCGTGGAATTATTAATTATTAATTTATTGAAATAATGCAAAAGAAATCATAATAATAATAAAGCTCTATTTATTTATTCATTTATTTATTATAAAGGCTTACTAACTAAATTTACATAAAAACATTTATTTAACATTATAATTTTACCTATTTGTATATAAATTTAATTTAAAAGTATGCACAGCTTTTTATAAAAGTATTCCATTAAAATTTTATTTGGTTAAGAGTATATAAGGAGCCATTTTAGTTGTACAATAAAAAAAATGTCCATATCACATTGCTGAAATATAAAATTATATAATTTAGTGACTATTTATTAACTTATAGTTTTTTAACTAATAATTTTGTAATCTGGAAATAAATTATTTTAAAAATCTTCATATTATTTGAAATGATATTGTATATATATAAATTATCATTAACAAATAAATAAATAAACAATCACAATAAATTAAATAATTCAATTGAGTAAATACTAAACATTTCACAATAATAAATATAAATAAAATTTCTTTCCATACATTAATTCTGACAATAGTTATAAATTAGGTATTTAATTTCATAATTAAATGTATTTATTTAGTAAATGTCTTTTTCATGTATAGACCCCTCTCGGTTAAAAGCCTCCTCCAAAGTAGTCCTGCATAGAGCTCTCCGTTGGAGATTATGCTTGTATGATTGCAAAGGATTTCTTTTCAAATTTTGTTTTCAATATATAATTTGTTTCTGATATGCCTATAAAGTTTATAATTTTATCTTTGTGTTCTTTTGATTTGTTGTAGGAAATGCTGCTTTTAATTCTAGAAGTTTTTCTGGTGAAGATATGTATACCTTTGTTCATTGTATGTCTGTTTTTTTTTGGAGGGTTACGGTTGAACTCCCCCACAGTGACCGGCCGTACTGGTGGATAAAGATGAGGAGGTTCCTACGGTGTTTAATATACTGTATCTTGCTGTGTTGTTTTTAGTTGTTCCTGGTTATCATTTGTGTGGTTGAAAGTTAACTTTGGTTTTTGTAATATTAAGTCTTTAATATTACCAGGTATGGTTTTCTTTGTATGTTGTTTATTTGTTAGTTTTTGTTTATAATTGAGGTAAGGCGTTTCTGGAGATACAGGCAGACTTCTTTTTTATTTCCGTTTAGTTTAAGACTATTTTTTCCTCTAGTTCATGATAGGAGTTCATGAAAGTTCTTGCGCCTAATATGTCTTTCTAAATTATTTATTGAGGTACTTTGTTCCTGGATTTTTTTCTCAAGAACTTCAATTTTTATTTCTAACTGTTTAAATTTTTCATTTAAGTATATTATTGTTGATTGTATTTTTAATGTCTTCTTTCATTTCTAACATTTCTGTTTTCTGCTGTCTTATTTCTTGTTGCATGTTTATTAGCAACTTTTTTATGTCCTCCATCTTATATGTGAAGTTGGAAGTAGAAAAGCTGATTGAAAAAAGCACCAATTATACCAAGTTGAATTGCAATTTTATACAGAGTATTAGTTTTTGAGGTTATAAACTTATGTTTTAATATTTGACGCTTTCACTTCACAAATTATTTTGTTTTATTGTCATCACACACAGAAAAGATGGTTTTGCACTAATATTATCTTTAAGTTATGTTTGTCACTTTTATATTTGTTTGGTAGGTGAATTTTTAAAAGCTCATTTGTTCTTCAACACATCAAGACTTGGTGATGTTTACTTATTGCCCATAGGTTTTATTTAAAAATTTATTTTTATTATTTAAATTTATATTTATTCTTTAGATTATTTTCACTTAAATATATTTAAACTTGATGTAAATACGGACACGATGTTGACAGTTGCACAGTGGCGCCGCCCACTCACCAGAAGTGACAATGCAAAAATTGTGAAAATGCAAAAGAAAATCGCATGAAAATTCGAAAATTCGCGTTTTTCCAGATATAAGACTAATCTAGATCGATTTATCGCCCCCGAAACCCCTAGCATGTTAAATTTCATGAAAATCGTTGGAGCCGTTTCCGAGATTCAGATTATATATTGATATATATATATATATACAAGAATAGCTCGTTTAAATATATAAGATATAATAAAAATTGTATATTTTTGGAATGGCTTACCTCTGCTAAAATTTCACTCTTCGCCACTGATACATACATACATGCACTACTACACCAATAAACCATACCTATACTAATATTATAAAGAGGAAGTTTGTAAGCTTGTGACATTGTAGAGGTAATCTTTAGATCTACTAAACTGATTTAGATGAAATTTGGTAAGAAGATAGTTTGAATATTATAAATATTAGAATTGAATAGAGATGAAAGTTTGTATGAGGAATCAAGCTAGGGATGAACCCGAGTGAAGCGACGGTGAGTCGCTAGTTGCAATATAAACATATAATATTTCACCATATCATAGAATAAATGCATCTAGTTGTATAGAGGATATTTTGGAAATAGCCAGCATCATGTTTCGAAACTAATATATTTTAACTAGATTTAAAATATATTAGTTACGAAACACTTATTCTCAACAATTTCTTATTTCTTTGCTCCAGTTAAAAATCACAAGAAACATGTCCATTGTCCACCATAATCAACTCCCCGCTAACCATTCCCCTCTTGTGTTTATTTCTTCTTTCTATTTTAAAATCTATTTTTTTTTTTTGGCCTGACCAATGTCATCATTTTTAACTACCTGATTTACAAAGATATCATCATCTTAAATAGTTAACTCTTCATACAAAGTTAACAATAGTTTTTAAGCTCTTGCATAGCTTCTATCGCGGGCCTTGAGCGTGGGGACCGAATCCAGAAATTCCGTAACGAAAAAAACCTGACACCCCCCACTCCGACCGGCACAGCGGTGATACTTCCATCTATCGATAAATACCAGAACTTTTAATGACTTTTTGAAATATCACGCTTGTCTCTTTAGTTCAGCAACCCGCCTTTAGGTGGCATTGGTTGTATTGGAAAACTACCGTAATCAGCTGTTTGTGAGAAAGTATATATGTGTATAGGTATTTATCATCTATGTACAACAGTGAATATCTGTACTCGTATAATTTGTGTACAAAGTGTTTTAAATATGAATTAACAAAGTGCATTTATTAATGAAGAAAGTCAAGGAAAAAAAATACTGCATTAATAAAATAAAAAAATTATTATAATTGCATAAGTTGATAAAAAATGCAATAGCTTTACCGCGGCAGTCTCCGAGTGCCACACGTCTTTTTTTTTATAAACCTACATTATTGTGTACAGAATGAAGAAGGAAGCGGCAATAATGGCGCGCGAGATCGAGAGGAGACAGCGCGAGTTCATGGAGAAACAGAAGATGAAACATCGCATGGAGGGTGATAAGAGTGAGTTGCTACGTTTATATTGTAAATAAATAAATATGTCAAGACATTTGAACACCATCTAGTTCTATGGTAAGTTACGAGGCTTGTGTTATGGATACCAGATAGTTGATACATTATACATATATAACTTTAAATACATGTTCTAAATATAAAGACCCATGATTGGAGTACAAACATTTGTGCTCATCACACAAATGAATGCCCCCAGCGGGACTCGAACCCGCGACCGCTGGCGCAGCAAGTAAAGTCACTCAAAGTGAGCCAAACGTGTTGTCAATATAAAACACCACCATTTATTTATTTATTTTGGAAACAAACGTTATTAACAAAAATATAAATGTTACAAAATTATTTTTATATTATATGTATCAAAGTTAGGAGAGAAGATGCAAAACGATTGTACGAAGATGAAAAATTGAATTAAAAATAATATTAAAAAACCATCAAACTTAAACATTCTATTGGAACTTATACGACATCGATGCATATAACGTCATCTACTGACATTTATTTGAACTAAGTTTTCTTTGTTCGTGATTAGATCCCGTGGTATCCATACTAATATAAATGTGAAAGTGTGTATAAATGTGACGGATTGGCGCGATTTTTGGTGTTAAGATAGCTGAAGAGTGACATAGGCTACTTTTTATTGCGGGATATCATCTCATTCCCACGGGAAAACACGTTATAATACAATCCAAAAATTATTTATGATCAGAATTACTTGAAACTTGGTATTAATGGCTCTTCAATAAAATTAAATAAATACATGTTTTAGCATTATTCGAAATTCATTCCATAAAGAGGTAAAATAGGGGATGAAAGTTTGTATGAAACCTATCTTTTTAGTTCTTTTTGTTGTTTTAGCGCGAGCGAAGCCGCGGGTTTTGCTAGTTATACATATAAATCCATACTAATATTATAAATGTGAAAGTGTGTTTGTTTGTTCTTCTTTCACGTCGAAATGTAGTGACGTAGCTGATGTTATAAGGAGTTCATTGAGCTAATTTTATTATAGAAAAAGAATTAGGGTTCTGCTAGTAGATAATAAAAACGTGTTAATTCCAGTAGCGACCCCGCTGAAGAGCCACGCGCACCCGCCGCCGGAGCCCGTGTACATGGCGGACGGCTTCCAGTACCTCAACAGCGACGAGGACGAGGAGGCGCCCGAGCGCGTGCCGCCGCCCTGGAGCACCTCCAAGGTACGGTCACAGTATAATAATAATACTAATATTATAAATGTGAAAGTTTGTCAGTATGGATGGATGTATGTATGTACGTATGTTTGTTTGTTACTCTTTGACACAAAATGTACTGAATGGATTTTTTTGAAACCTTACAATAATTTAGCTCATACACCACATAACACATAGACTACTTTTTATCCCGGAAAAATTTACTGTTCCTGTGGGATATATTTGTTTTTGTTTTTTCTGCTAGTATAATAATAATAAAGCCTTTATTTACAACTTTTTTATATTTTATGACTTAAACTTAACCACTAGCGACTCACCCACGCTTCGCTCGGGTTCGTCGCTAGCTTGCTTCCCAATACAATTTTTAATCCCCATTTTCACCCCTTAAGGGATGATGTCCGGGATAAAATCCTATGTCGTCCCCAGGGTCTCAAACTATCTTCTTACCAAATTTCATTTAAATCGGTTCAGTAGATCCAGAGATTACCCCCTACAACGTCACAAACTCACAAAACTCTACCTCTTTATATTATTAGTATAGATAATTTATGAAAACTAACAAAATGCTAATAATAATATCGTTTCCATTCCAGGCCCGTCGCAAGCAACTGTGCATACAAGCGTGCATATCTCCAAACCACATAGACAAGCTGTTCTCAGTTCGAGAACATTCTCCGGACCTCAGTGAAATATTCCCCAATATTGAGAAGAATCGTCTCAAACGCACTTCTTCGGCTGTATGGAGGACTCCCCCGCGTCTGCCCACGCTTAAGGAATGAGGTTATTACAATACTATTCAAATCCATACTTAATATTATAAATGTAAAGGTGTGTTTGTCTGTTTGTTTGTTTGTCCTTCTTTCACGGTGAAACGGAGTGACGGATTCGTGCGAGTTTTTGTGTGGATGATAATTGGAGTCAAATATAGATAAAAAGTAAAATTATTATTAATTACTAGCACTCACCCTCGCTCTGCTCAGGCTCGTCTATAGGAACGTTATAACAGTTATAACAATTAGTATAGATCTTTCAGAGATAAGATATTTGCCCACAGTAAAAATCATCCTGTATGTGGACCCGGATAATCAGCTATCATCATACCAAATTTCATCGAAATCTGTCCAGTGGTTTTCTCGTGATGCGTTTCCAGACATACAGACAGAGAAAAATTCTAAAAACTATAGATTCGGCCTCTATAGATAATAGTGACTATTTCAATAAGATTTTCCGTAAAATATTTAATGTACAGATTCGACTCCAGAATTATTATTATATGTATAATGTATATACAGTATAGATTTCTATTTTCAGGCAAAGAAGCAAGTAACAGTCGCGGGCGGCGATTTATTGTAAATATTCTTACACCGTGTGCTTTATAAATTGCGAGATCATGAAATAAAAATGTGTTACACCTACTTTTTATTATTATACTAGCGATTCACCCTCGCTTCGCTCGGGTTTGTCCCTAGGTACGTTTTGACGGTTAGTATGATATACAAATCTTTGAATTTCTCGGTTATTCTGTACTATAATATGCATGTATTATACATATAAACCTTCCTCTTGAATCACTCTATCTATTAAAAAAACCGCATTAAAATCCGTTGTAGTTTTAAACATCTAAGCATACATAGGGACAGACAGACAGTGGGAAGTGACTTTGTTTTATACTATGTAGTGATAAATATTTCAAAATATAAACGTGCCTTCTATTTCTTAATTTTAGTACAAAATTGTATTAGCGCTGACATTTAAATTTGATTGTAAAAGATATCTGGGATTGTTAATTGTGATTGTCAATATTTGTGATTGATGATTCATCTTTTATAATATACAGTCGAATCTGGGTAAGTGTAACTTCAAGGGATGATGATCTGTTTCTTGTGTATAGAGTTTTCCTACTAAGTAGAGTTCATAGCTTTTACAAGAGGTACAGAATCTTTCTCATTTATTGAGGTCTAAAAAATATAGCAAACTTGTGAAATATTTGTGTATTGGATATGTATTTTCATCAGAATTTGATTGGGAACTAACACTAGATCCTCGTTTGAGAGGCCTATCACCAAATATACTGAGTTCGAGTGTTTGTGCAGTTGTAATTACTTTTATGTAATGTTTTATAATAAATTGTTTAAAATAGTGTGTAATTAAAACTGGCGTATGTTCTGGTATAAATTTTTCTTATTACTTAATAATAATAATGTTATAAGGATATATTTAGCTGAGCTTGAAAAACTGCTGTCGCGCATTTTATTAAATCTTGCTTCGGAATATTGCCTTTATTTCAATTAATAATGAAAAATGGGAACAGCGAGGACCCTTTGAAATATATTAATAACTATTCTCCACCATACAATAAGTCAAAATTGTCGAAGAGTTTCAGTTTCTCTTAATAAAAACTCCAAAGATGGGCATTTAATTCTAAATAAAATAAAAGGTGTTAAATTCTCTCGACTGTCGCTTATAGACATACAGACAAGTATCAGTTATAGAGGTCCAAAGAACAAAATCTATAAGAGTATTATATAAGTTTTAATTTCTGTGTTATAGAGGTTTTAAAAGGATAATGTAACGGGATCTGGCAATTACTCTCACATACAGATTTTTTTCGCTCACCCACTTCTCATTCACTCAGGTTTGACTGTAATTTGAAGCAATTGTTAATATTATTCATTGAAAAACATTGATGTAAACATTCACAATATCATCGATCAAAAAAGTACTAGGATACAGAAAGAATCAGCGGCAAAAAATGTCCTCACCGAATGAGCGCTCATTTGAACATTTGAGCGCGCTATTTTTTTTTTGTGTGAAAACAACTTTAAGCGTTGCATTTAAGGTTCAATTTACGTTGTTGTATATTTATTTCAACTAGAATAATTACCTAAACACAATTGGTGATAGTTTTAAGAGAACTTTTGCATAGGATTGTGTATCTAGGAATTTTTTTGATCGATGTACAATAACAAAGTTTAGTCGCCAGAGATGAATAAAATTTGTTTTGTTAAGTTTATGTTTAGAATATTGATAGGAAAATTCATATAGATTTACAATTTTGACGTCGCGACAATAATTGATTGATTGAATTGACATACAGAAAGCAGTTGTGGAGAGTAGATGAGTAATTCAATAAATGAAATAAACCTTTTTTTTTAATTAAAATAATTTTTGAACACGAATAATGGTGCGAATTCAACTATCTTAGATGTACCATTTGATAGCTTATATTTTATCAATTCGAAAGTTTTACTGCCTTCTATCGCCAATTTTTAAATGCCACTTGTCGATTTTACAAGTACTTTTAAGTCTTTAATTTAATTTAAAAAGCTTCAGTGTAGGACCAATCTTTGAGAAATCTACCACCAACTCGGAAAGCAATTCTGCTGAGAAGAACCGGTGAGAAACTCGACAGTTGCTCTTTTAATTATCGAAGTTACAGTTACAGTTTAAATAAAACTATATTTTTGGTTTATTTCGCAGATTTATTTCGATTTTATATATATTCTAAGAGAGTATTATATGAGTTACATTTATTTTATTAACATAACAATATAGATAGCGCGCATATGAGTCAATACTTCTCAAGTCAATATGTGTTCTTAACCAATTTCAGAAAAAGGAGTATTTTGTGTATATTGTGCAAATAATAATAATTAAACTATATATTAAAACAAATTTTCATGATTCATGAAAATCTTTATTTGTGTATTCCCAAATAAATTTCAATTTTTGATTCAAATCTTCGATATTTTAATATATTTTTAATCCCAGCTCTTTCTGCTCTTCATAATTGTTAATAACAATAATATGTTGAATTTGACAATGTAAATTACACTACACACGAAAACTTAGAACATAAATACATAATATATGAAATTAATATTAAGTTTGTTAAATATGGCGTTCATTATAGATATGTTTTGAACGAAATAATACCATATTTTCATATATAAATGGAAATTTATACAAATATTTGTAATTTGCGTCATATGTTAATAATGATAATGTTTAATATCTAAGAGTTAATATTCAGTGCCTATGAAAATTTCTTATATAAATTTTAAAAATCAAGAGTCCCTCTTTTCGCTCGGTGTCGTCTCTAGGTACGTTTTAATAAAAGTAGCCCGAGTTACTCCCTATAACATCAGCTATCTTCCAGTGAAAGTCCCATCAAAATCAGTCCAGCCGTTTCGAAGATTAGTCGGAACAAAAAGTTGTGTTTTTCTTATATGTACCGTATGTAATTTCATATGCATTTAGTATAAAGATGTTATTTTGACATTACAAACAGACACTTCAATTTTATTTATCTGTATAGAAAAAATTGTAATAAATAAGAAATATTTCTCGTCCATAAAAGTAATTTAAAGGTTTTTTTTGTAAGCACTGAATAATATTTATTTTACATGTTTTTATCATTTTAAATGACATGATGTAGTATAGATATGAAGCGTGAAGAGATCACGCGCTTAGAATAAATTATAAATTTAAAATTAAGACTGCCATGTATTCTGAAGTGTTACAAATAAACATTTACATCTAGTATTACGTTTGGTTTTTTATTTTATCTCAACCTATCTATATTATCCTATATAAATTATAATACCTATATATATATATATATATATATATATATATATATATATATATATATATATATATATCTTTTGCAAATACACAACTTCAATGACCTACGTCTATGAATAACACATCGATTCATAATATAATGCCCAAAATTTGAAGTATTGGCTATTTGAATGGCTTATTTTAGTTAAATCGATGAGTGGCATTTAAAAATTGGCGATAGAAGGCAGTAAAACTTTCGAATTGATAAAATATAATGCAATGAAATGATAAATCTATATTTATATATATACTAGTATTGCCCGCGGCTCCGCCCGCGTTCAGATGACGAAAAACCAAATTCTTAGATTTTACATACAATGCAGTTTTTGTATTTTTTCTCAGAAATGAGATATTTTCCCGCGGTAAAAAGTATCCTATATGTTGACCGGGATAACCAGCTATCATCATACCAAATTTTATCAAAATCTGTCCAGTGGTTTTCTCGGGATGCGGTAACAGACAGACAGACAGACAAAAATTCTATAAACTATAGATTCGGACTCTGTATAGATAATAATGTCTATTGCAATAAGATTTTCCAAAAAATATTTTACTGTACAGATTCGGCTCAGTTACAATTTTATTATATGTATAGATTTTTGTGGACTAATTTTGACTCTTCTGGTTTTAGAAGTTTTTTGATTAACTAAATGTTCCTTGTCTACTGTTGAAGAGCTCTGTCTAACGCCGGGACTCGAACCGTTATCACTAAAATAACAGTGTGAATAGCTCACACTTTTGACACCAGCCTTAAGAGTAGAGCATGTCTTTCAGCACCCTTTAGTTGGCGCTACTTCATATAAATTGTACTTTTTACATTACCATTTTTTTTAAATCACCTTGCATGACACGCAAGATGCAACCGACAGATATCTACAGATTTATCATAGTCACCCTATGGATTTTCAGAAAACTGACCTAGCAACAGCCCCGCCCCGTCTTTCATAAGGCGTCATAAACATTTTATTTCTTGCTGAAAATTGTTTTCGCATTTGATTTTTTGGCGCCGCTTGCTACCTGGCGCTTAGAGCGGCCGCTCCTCTAGCTCTGCCCCAAGGCCGACATTTTTTTTCTAACACCCAAACAGACATCCGTCCGTGCCTTTTTTTGAGCTAGGTACATATTTTTGTTTTGTTGTATGTACAATTATTTTAGAATGAAAAGAGTTCCGAAAAAAATCTAAACAAAACTATATGATCGGGTGACTTTAAGAGTCCAACCAAATTCCAGGGCTGACATTGCAACTATCACGAATGTAAAACTATTATTTGAAAATAAGAAATGGGGTGTTAATGAATAAAACTCATGATATCTAAACAGTACTTTATTACTAACCACCACTGTATCCTTAAAAATTTCAACCTTCAGCCACAAAATCGAATAAGTGCCGAAATATGTGCAAAGGTGTTGAAGCCAGTTTTGCGTACGCGTGTGAGTTTGCAAATACTCCGAAACTTAATCAGGAATGTCAGCGTGCATTGTATATAGCTATTTCAAACGGAAGTTATTCCAAAATGGTTGATTTATAATAATAATAAAAAAGAAGATAATAATTTAAATATCAATTAAATACACGATTCTACATAAATATTTCGGGCTAACATATATATGTGACAGATGACTTTGACAGATCAAAAGGCGCCATCGCGAAAACTGTTTTTTTTTTCAAAAATAAAACAAGATGACAAAGGTAAAATGTTATTATTCCAAAGCGGCAGCACCAGAGATAATTTCGATAAGTTCCCTGGTGATGACGGCTTGGCGGGTCCTGTTGAAAGTGAGAGTGAGTTTCTCTATCATCTCTCCCGCGTTCTTAGAAGCGTTGTCCATGGCCGTCATACGGGAGGACTGTTCGGAGCAAGCGCCCTCCTTCAGAGCGTAGAACAACATGGAGGCCAGAGAAAACTCCATGTAAGATTGCAAAACGTCGGAATCGAGGGAATCGTAGACCGCGAGTTTTGGTGCGGACTGAAATAAAATAATTATATTTCATTTTAATTTAGCTGTTTAAATGATTATTGACTAGCGGCTCACAATCGCTTCGCTCGGGTTCGTCGCTAGGTACGTTTTAAATAGATATAAATAGTTATTAGCCAGCGTTAACCAGATAAATTTAATTTTTGTTTGTGAGTTTTTGTTATGTTTAAATAGTTATTCTGCTATTCGAGACAGAGACAAATCCAACAAATCAAAAAACATGAAAATCGGTCCAGCAGTTCTCAAGTTATGTGTTGTAACATACGCAACTATATTTTTTTAAATTATATAAATGTGTACAAATTCTCCTATTACTATAGATTATTAGAGTAGATTTCCTATTGGCAACTTACTCGTATTGGTAAAGTCACTATTTATACTGGGGATAATTTTCAATTTGATTCAATATTTTGTTATGGCTATACTGGATATTGTTTAGAAAAGTTCAGTTAAAAAATTAACAAACAAATAATAATCATTGGTTAATATTACTTCCAAACGTTACTATGAAATGTAATCATTGCCTAGATTGGAAGTAATATTTGTATTTTGTATTCAACTAAAATTTAAAATAATCTAATATACTACAAAAAACGTTAACATCTGAAATTATGGCTTAAACTAAATGAAAAAAACTCTTTTCTATTTATTTCTCTTTTTGCTATATGAATGTTATTCACTGAATATATCTAATATATAAAATTCTCGTGTCACAGTGTTTGTAACAAAACTCCTTCTTATGAAATTTTGTGTGTATATTGAGTAGGTTTGAGAATAGGACGTAAACTATTTTTCAAGTAATAACGGTGGTAACACCCTAAAAATATTTTATTTTTATTTTTTGTACAACATTTTTTTTTTATGATTCGGTATTAAAAATACATACTAAACTAAATTTTACATATACATATTTCACCTGCCACTTACCTCAATAGCCTTCTTGCTGAACATTGGCAAGTCCGCCTGTGCGTAAGACACAACAGACCTGAACTTGTTGTAAACAATTTTGCCGGAGCCAAAGTCATAGCCGGACGTCATGACGGCGTTGGCGAGTTTGGCTGCGTCGAGGAATGTTGGAGGGAGACGACCAATCTGAAAATTATTATTATTATGTTATAACGTTTAGTATAGATTTCTCAGGTATAAGTTATTTTCCCGCAGTTAAAAGTATCCTAGATGTTGACTCGGATACCCAGTTGCCATCATACCAAATATAACGAAAGTCGTTTTCTCGTGATCACAGACGAACATAAATTCTAAAAACTATAGATTCGACCTGTGTATATAATGACTATTTCAATAAGATTTTCCAAAAAATATTTAATCTGCCGATTCGATTTAGATTAGATTTCTTTTCTATACATATAATAAAATTCTTTTTTTTTTTTTTGGAAAACCTTATTGAAGTAGTAATTATTACCAATACAGAGGTCAACCTATATTTTTGCGTGATTTGTGTCTGTCTGTCTGTGACTGCACCACGAAAAACCACTGAGCAGATTTTGATGGTATTCGGTATGATAATAGCTGGTTATCCGGATCAACATATAGGATACATTTTACTACCGGAAAATATCCTCATATTTAAAAAATCTATATTAACAATTTAAAATATAACTACTTTGTTTGTTTATAAACACACAACGAACCTCATTAGCGACACTAATGATGTGCTTCGAATACAATCGCTGCAGGATAGCACGCGACTTGTCCCCCACACAGATCACCTTGATGTTCTCGGCGCCGGGCTGCGCGAGGCGGGTGCGGATCACCTTGGATACACCCGTGTGGACCGCACCGCATAGACCTGGAATATTTATCAATATTTCCTTAAAATACTTTAATCAAATATTCTTTTATAATATTATTAGGCATAATTCTATAATATCACAGAAGTACCAGGAGCAACTGGCATGGTACACTGCCCAGCAAAGTGGACCACGGACCACTTCCCAATGAGTCCTCAAATTAAATAAGATTCATTCGATGCAATAGAATTAAAACAGTCCAGAAATGCAAAAAAACACAGAGGAACACACCGCTACGATTAGGCATGTCAGGATGTAATATTGAATAACAAAATGCAACCTGCAACTCGTAAGCACTTACATGGATATAGTATCTAACTAAAACACACAAGTACCACAAAATACTTCATACAAAGCCGATTTACATTGTTTACTTTTTAATCTATATATTTAAATTTTCAACAAAAAAATGAAGGTTTTTTAATCTTAAAGCTAAAATTTTGCTAGCTTTAAGGTTACAGACTTTAGATGCTACAATATAAAATAGAACCCATCCTAATATAACGCTTTATAATTATGATCCCAAAAACACATATATATAACATTATACTGGCCACACTAACGACGCGAACGCACATATCATGATAACTTTATAAATCAGGCAATTAAAAATGACTAAAACAGTCAGGCCGATAAAAAATAATAAAAATATAATTAAATATAGAAAGAAGAAATAAACAAAAGATTGGTTGGTAGAGAGTTGATTTTTAACTGGAGAAAAAGAAATAAGAAATTATTGAGAATAAATGTTTTCTAATAAATTGTAACTAGATCTAGTTAGAACATATAACTTTTGAAACATGATGCTGGCTTTTCCTGAGATATCCTACACAAGTTCATATTTACCATCATACACCATTATACATACATAGAATCAAAACTAACTTACCTCTGTCAGAGGTCATGGCGATATACAGCTCTGCAGGTTCGTCCTCAGGCACTGCAACCTGGAAAGTACAAAAAAAATCCTTATTGTATAATTATTATTGCACAATAAATACTTTTTGTTCACCTCTTATCGTTACAAAACATGAATATTGGAAAGTTCTCTTACATTTTCTTCATTTTCCTTTTGAGTAAATATATTACATTCTAAAATCTAAGTCTGCTCCTGTACTTAAGTGGAAAATTCTTTGACATGTAATATCCTATGTTAAATCACTTATTACCAAGAGGCATCTCTAAGTTTACAGAAACTATACAAAAAGTTCTATAATAGTTACCTCAAATATTTACACATCAAACAGTCTGAAGATATGTTATTAAGTTGAAACATAATATATTTAAATAAGGAAGATAAATAATCCTTACCTCAGCCTTTTCATAAAACTGCACTGCACCCTCACCATAGGGACGGGCAGCTCTCAATTCACGCTCAGCACGAGTATATCTATTATTTAATATATTGAAATTAACAATCAAATTGCAATATGAATATTATTATAGTTTTGTATCTAAAATAATTCAACCATAATCATAAAAGTATTTTAATTGGTCAAAGTATTAAACCTGTACAATATGTATTGTAAAAAAATTATTAGATATTACCAATAAGCAAAGGCAGTAGTAATCCAGTGTTATTAACACACTCACTTGGAAAACCAAGTGAAGTGGTTTTAAATCCTGAGTCTCACATCTCTGATATTCTCCTGTGTGATTCATTTTCAACATCATAACTATTTCTTGTCTTACATTGAAGAAAATATTGTGAGGAATGTGCTCCTCATCATGAAATGCTGCATGTCTGAGAGAACCTCGCTAGTTTTTGAAAGACATATGAAGTCCACCAACCCGCACTTGGACTATGGTCTGGTCCTCCTTTTGATTGAAAGGAGGCCAGTGTCCAATAGTGGGACGTTAAAAAGGGCTGATTATTATACAGATAAGCAAAGAGTTGTCTTTTCTTTTACTTACTTGGCAGCTGACACCATCTTCATAGATTGGGTAATCTTTTGGATGTTCTTTACCGACTTCAAACGCATGGAAATGGCTTTTAGCGTGGCCATGTTACGGCTCTGCTGCTGGTTGACCATTACGGTCACCTGGGCTACTCCAGGTGCGATACGACCCAACATTTTGCTATCTCTGAAATTAATTAAATTATAAAATAGGTCATTAAATGAATTGAGATTGATTAATAACTTCATGAAAATTTGAAAATATTCTAATATTTTAACCGGTACTGCTAATCTTTAGTTTTAATTCGATCTTATCGTCGCGTAAAAAAATAGACAGTTCATGAATTTCAGAGTAGTTAGAATATATACAAATTACAATTATTATAAGATTTCAAAAGTGACGAATTGTGAACTTGTTTAAAATTTGTGAATAAATGAAAAAAACACTAAATCAGATGACAAAATGCAGGTTATGTATCAAGTTATGTAAGACTTCAACCCTCGACCGCCCATAAAAAAGCAACTAATTCACATTTTGGTGTTAAATCTTCGGCAACTTACTCAATTGAACACTGTAATTTATTAAATTATATTAGATAAGCACAAATACTAACTTTTATCGGACTTTTTTGGTCAAATTGTGTATACCAGCCGACGAAAATGTCGCTGGTCGGAAGGACGACGACGTTCGTTCTTGCTGGGAGGACAGCAGTAAAAATCTTTAGAATTAAGATAAAAAATGTCTATTATAATATTAAAATATACGTATTTTTAATATTTGTTTGATTTATATATATTGTTTAATACTACAGTTACTTAAAATGTTGAATTAATGATGTAAATAAAAAAAAAGGAATATAATGAAATATAAAATGCTATGTACCTTATTCAACTGAATTTTTAATCTGTTGAGTATTGATGCTTACAAATGACATTTAATATTGAATACCTTACTAAATTAAAAAGTTGTATATAGCAGTGACTGATAGTATGATTTATGCATATTTTCTGTTTAGCCGTTTAAGGGTCTGATTCATGTTTTGACTTTGATTCACTATCTGACATCAAATAAATATCTATTATTTTTTACTAATTCAAGTAAGATTTTCAATTGTTTTTATTAATTAAATATTAATAATAATGCCTGCACCAGAAGAAAATGTGGATACCAAAACAGTACAGCCACAAGAGCAAGCGATGCGAGAAATAACTCAGACTGATCATTTAAATAAGAAGTTATTAACATCTCTATTCAAGAGATTAGATGAAGGTGGTAACTCTTTATTAGAAACAATGTTAGAACCTGATAATAATTCAGAAGAAAATGATGAATGGCAAGAATAAGTGTATTTAAAGTTTATGAAAACTATATTTGTATGTCATAATAAAATGATACTTTCTATTTAATTATTTTTTTTAATTTCAACTAAGAATGTACACTATTAAAGTTTTCTCTCTCGATAGTACTTTAATACACACAAATTTTTATCTATTATTATGTCTATTTAATATAATTATTTATTCTATACTCTAATATAATTTATATTGTGGATTGTATAGAAAACAAAAAGTTCCTAATTTTTAATTTGTACCCATGTTATGGTATTATATTTTCTTTTTTAATTGTGCCAATACAAACATTTATATTGTTGAATATCAGACCTGGCATTGTGACTTGTGAGCACTGAGTGATGCCAGTCACAGTGGTAAGAGTAACATTATAAAGTAGGTAGGTATTTTGTAATTTAACACAAATTTAGATTTTGGCATAAAAGTTATTAAGTTATAATCATGTTATGCACAATTTAAACAAGACATGACATGAAAAGACTGTTAACCATTATCATTTTGGTATAATAAACCTGTCAATTTTATTAACTGGTTAATGAACGGGTGATGAATTAATCATTACATTAACAAAATTAACTTTTTCTTTTTAAACCGGTTCCGAGCCCTAGAGGAGAATGATGAGTATAGTTGATGATCTCGAAAGTTGATTTGCATTGTCAATGGTCAATACTTTGTTACTAGTTTTGTAGCCAGCATGTATTGACTGAGTTGCGGAAGTCCTGGCTTCGAGTCCCGTGTAGGGCAGAGTATTGTTATTGAGGTGAAGTCAAGAATTTTTAGTGGCAGCCCTGAGTTTAAGAATAAAAGTTATAGTGTCCTTGTGGTCTGTGTATACTCTTTATCATAGATCAAAAAAGTATTAGTTACACAATCCCATGCAGGAGTTCTCTTAAAACTATCACCAATTGTGTTTAATTCTAGTCGTTTAATTGTAGTAGTTCAATGTGTTTAATTTTAATTCTAGTTGGAAAAAATATACAACAATGTCAATTGAACCTTAATTACAATGCTTAGTTGTTCTCACAAAAAAAATTAAAAGCGATTGTTCAAATGAGCGCTCTTTCGGTGAGATTTTTTGTCCCCAATTGTTTATCTAGTACTTTTTTGGTTGATGCTCTCTATATTATAAAATGTCTAGCACATATGGCGAAATTGGTCAGATCATTATTAAAGAGTTATTGATTACTCATATAATATGAACTCGGAAGTTAAACTTCAGTCCTAACATTGTGTCAGTACAAGCTGTAATTAGTATCTAGTCTATACTAATATTATAAAGAGATAAAGTTTGTGAGTTTGAGACCCTGGGAAGAACATAGGCTACTTTTATGCAGGAAATCATCCCTTAAGGGGGTGACAAAGAGGATGAAAATTTGTATGGGGAATCAAGCTAGGGATGAACCCGAGCGAAGTGAGAGTGAGTCACCACTAGTGATATAATAAAACAACATACAAACAGTAACTTGAATAATATTTATTATGTACTACACAAGTTATAATGAGGAATGTTTTATTTACATAGCTTGCATAACTCCAATATAATTTAAATTTACTGAACAATGCATCTCAAATAGATAACTACTCTATCGCAACTGTAATACTGAAAATAAAATTGTTGCGTTTCAAAAAAAATAATATTTTCTCATTCGATGGAATCATCCAAAGCTTATACATGATGTATATAAATAATTTATTTACTATTTATTTATTATATATAAATACAGCGTCAACAACAATGCATTTAAGTAACACACGAAAAATCAATATATAATCTGTACATAGAAAATTGTAGAAATAGGTTGATTTAAACCAAAGAGGTTGAATAATAATTGTATCTATTGCTCGCTAGCTTCCGGACAGACATACAGCAGCTCGCCTGGTAACATTACCTGCAAGAATTTGTTAAATTTAAAAATATGTAGAAATTGACCATTCAAAATCATCTGTACAGATAAATGAAATATCTGTTTGTAAAGTCAAAATAACAGCTAATAAAAGCATAATATGAAATTTTATGTGATACTTATAAGGCAAACACAATTTTTAAAATGTTTGTCTGTTTGTTCTGGTTTATCCTCGAAACGACTGGACTGATTTTGCAGAACTTTCACAGACAAATAGCTGATGTTATAAGCAGTAACTTAGGCTACTTTTATTTTAGAAAAAGAATTAGTGTTCGGCTCAAAAAAATTAAAACGTACCAAGAGACGCACCCGTGCGAATCGAGGGTAATTTATTAGTAATCAATGTAAGAAAAAATATTTCCTGTAAGAGAGACGCGAAATATTTTTTCTTTCATTCATCCATTCTTACATCAATATCAAATCGTTACATGTAGCGCCATCTATTGTCATCCAATCGAACTATATTTTGTTTCTGACTAGACATGGCTGTCGTCAGGCATCAAACAGGCTATTAAAAAATAAAATTCACCTAAAAATAATTGTAACGCCGTCGTACACCTAAGCCTTGTCCACCATCTCGATATTGATCTTATAGAACACGTATGGGAAGTATTCCGACTGGCCGAAACCGAGACCCGCTAAGTCTGCAGTCTGAAAACAAAAACTAAAATTAGAATATGATCATATTTAAATAGTATAAAATGAAGTCGCTTCCGCTGTCTGTTCGCTTAGATCTTTGTAAACTACTCAATGGATTTTAATGCAGTTTTCAGCAATAGATAGAGTGATTCGAGAGTAAGGTTTATTATATATATTACAGGGCTTGTGTTATGGATCGGATAGTGATACACTACACTTATACAACTTTAAATACATACATATTATAAATATAAACACTAAGAACTGGAGTACAAATATTCGTGTTGATCACACAAAAGAAAGTTCCCAGCGGGACTCGAACCCGCGACCGCTGGCACTGCAAGTAGGGTCACTAAAAACTGAGCCAAACATGTCGTCAAGTATTGCAATATCATAGTCAATAAAAGAAATAAATATTCCTCATACATAATGGAGTTGGGAAATATTTTTTGTTTCATTGATTTCAATGAAACATGGTAATTGATTCATTATAGTAAATAATAAAGAAAATGACAAATATTTTTCAAATCAATTCAATTTTTTGTTAATGCTTTCAAAGCGCAATATTTTTCTTTTATTGATTTCACACAAATATCATTATAATAAATCGTTACATGTAACGCCATCTATTCTTATATAATTGAACTATAGTGTAGTGTAGTGTGGTGTGGTGTGGTGTGGTGTGGTGTGGTGTGCGCACGTACGTCCTGCGCGTTCTGCGCGTGCTGGTGCGCGGAGTGGTCGAGGTGCGCGTAGAGCGCCTGCAGCACGTCGCGCAGGCGCTTGGCCGCCTTGCGCGCCGGCACCATCACCACCGCCTGGAAGTTCACCGGCAGCCCGTATCTGCTCGCCGCCGGGGGACAAAATATACACACGTTATAACAAGTAACTACAATAATAATACTCTCTATCTCAAATACACATTACTTTTAAAGAACAAACACAGAGGATTTAGAAAAATATACCTACTGAAGTTAAGGAAAAAATACCCTGATATGATACCCTGGATTGTACATAGATTTAATCTAATAAATCACCCCTTAAGGGATGAAAAGGGGATGAAAATTTGTATGGAGAATCAATCATTTCTCAAGTAATGGATATAAAATACATCATACCTATGTATACAAAGTTATTGGTAATACGTAACGATCTCGTCAAACGGTTATATAGTACAGGACATCAGTTATCAAACGACTCCCAAAGCGCTTATGCAAAAGTGTATCGTTTTGGAGTTTTTTTTATAGATTACTTTTAAAGTTAATTTAAAAAAAAACAATGTATTTCTTTATTTCATCATCATCATCATATATTTTTTTATTTCTTGCTGGTGCACATCCAGCAATAAATATAAATACTCAAATTAAACCTAGAAAACCGTATGTGACGAATTTAGGTTCCATGATCAAAAATTAACCAGTTAAAATGAGGCATTGTGCATTTATATTTGGCGAATGGGAAATTGCTTAGTAAAAGAATACATGTACGTTTACGTAATTAATCTTTCTTGTAAGAATAACCCTTACCGTTAACATTCGGTTTACTAAACCGTTATTTTATATTAACCGGTTAATTAACGAGCGATGTATTAACCATTATATTACCGAAATTAACCGTTCTTTTAATTAAACTTTTTAAATTTTTGACAACGTCAAAACAAAATTTATTGTGTAATCAAAATTTATTTTAGAATATATCCGAAAATAACATTAAAAATTTAAATAATAGTATAAAAAATGTTTTAAAAGACAAAACAATCGAAAGTGCATAGTACAAGACTTCCGCGATACCATTCAGACAAAGAGAGACAATAGCATTCTCAAGGAGTGTTGACGTCAGGCAGGCGTGAGGCGGCCGGACGTGAAACTTTTGCCAAATCCTATCAGCAGTACAGATGTACTACGCCGACCCCGAGTGATTGGGAAATGGGCATGGAGAAGAAGAAGAAGAACCGTTCTTTTAAAAACCGGTTCCGATCCCTCGTATTATAAAAAGCAGTTCTACAATATATACAAATAACAATATCAACATGCAAACAGTTATCATGTCATAAGTATATCAAATCCAATTAACTTTGTAAAACATATGAATAACTATATTATTATAGATGGAAACCTTACAAATTGAACATGTTATACTTAATTTATACATATAATAAAATTGTAACTAAGCCGAGTCTGTATATTAAATATTTTTTGGAAAATCTTATTGAAATAGTCATTATTATCGATACAGACTGAATCTATAGTTTTTTAGAATTTATGTCTGTCTGTTTGGGACCGCATCACAGAAAAACCACTAGAGGGGTTTTGATAAAATTTGGTATGATGATAGCTGGTTATCCGAGTCAACATATAGAATACTTTTTACTGCGGGAAAATATCTCATCTCTGAGAAATCTATACTAAATGTTAAAACGTAAGAAGAGACGAACCCGAGCTCCTCTCGAGGGTGAGTCTTTAGTTTAATATATAATTTCAAATGGAAACTCACCTTAGTACAGACTCAACGAACACTCTTAGAGCTTTCACATGTATCCAAGCGCAGAAGCACTCGGAGAAGTTAACTTTCAACCATCGCACCAATGGACCCTGGAATGGAAAATAATATTCTCTATAATAAAAATAAATTTGTTAATACTTTCTAAGGTTTACGCGAAAGCATTCGGAACGTCGAATTTAAATAAATCCGCGAAAAAATCCTAAAAGATAAATTAATTTAAAATGTCAAATATTCGCGTAAATCTAAGAAAGTAACACTATAGTTCTGAAATTTATTAATAGATGTCGCTGCCCTTGGCATTAAGAGAATTAAAAAAAAAACAGAAAATCTTCACGCAGACAAAAGTTACCGACTAAAATAATTAATATATAATCACATTCGTTTAAAAAAAAACAAATTTTATTACTTCATGTTAATCATCTATTCGAGGTATTTACACACGCACGCACGCACACATACACACATATTATATTGATACAACACAGTAGGCAGTATGCACTCACGAACTGCTTCTTCTTGTCGGTGACGAGCTTGGTGATCTCGTTCTTGCCGGCGGCGAGGTCCGCCTCGTTGTAGGAGAACTCGCGCACGATGAACTTGCGCTCGCGCGCGTGCAGCTTGAACTCGTCCACCACCTGGGGGTTTCATTTTACTCTCAATTATCTTGTTAATGGCTTCAAACCGTGCCAGATTTATTTATTAATGTACCAAAACTTTAAAAGAATAAATAAAAACCGACTTCCAGGCACTAAAATATAAAAAAAAAATAACAAAACAAAAATATGAAAAAATAAAACGAACATCATACCTTTTTGAACAGAGTCACGGTAAACAGCCCGTAGTCGTTGTCCTGGTGTATGAGTTGAGTGGAGCGTGGCACTATCATGTTAGTGATCTTCTCGTAGTTCGCGTTCCAGTCGTTGAACATCGACCTTTTGGAAAGAAATATGTTATATATTAATGCAATATATGTACTATAAATAAAATTTTAATTTGATTTTTGTTTCTCAAATATTCGGAAATATTATATCTTTATATATATAATTCTTCTGTGAGTGTGTATGTCACTGAACTTCTCTCAAACGACTGGACCGATTTTGATGAAATTTTTTTTGTGTGTTCAAGGGGATCTGGGAATGGTTTAGATTCGCAATTTGAATAATAATTTTCATCAAAAAAATTATTAAAAAAAGTTTGAAATTTTCAAATTAAAGACGTGTAGACACGACAACGTCTGTCGGGTCCGCTAGTATTATAATATATTATAATGATATAAAAATGGAAGTACACAATCTTTACAAATTTAGAACTGTATAAGTTGGCAATTATTATTGGCTTGAGTAAAAAAGTCACTTCGATATCCAAAATTTAATTCTTCATCCTTTTTTCTTTTTCACCCTTCAGTTACATGTGAGTGCAACCACTATTTTTTTTTCGTTATTAGACTACAGAATTGACTAACGGTTCACATTAATTCGTTGGCTCACTATTACAAGGTTCTATGTTACAATTTTAGTACTTATTTAGTTATTAATTCTACTTACAAAAACAAACCACTAGATAGCGGCACTATAACTACAAAATATTCAATTTTACATAGTTCTATGTTGTTTTTTTACGATAACAACATAACGAATTTCTATGTAAAAATTACTTAACTTCATTAAAATTAACATAGAACCTTGTAATAATAAGCCAACGAATTATAGCTTCAATAATAGTCTTTTAGTAAAGTGACTGACACACGGACCAACGAACATGACATATGTAATTATAAAGATTCCGTTTATGCTTCTTATTCGGGGAACCTTAAAAACAATCATTTTAGCTTAATTGCAAAAGTTAAGATATTTAAAACTTAATTTTATCCACGGTTTCACATAGTTGGTACGTCAATAAAAATACCTGTTTTAAAGCAGGTCATAATCTATCTGTAAACTTCCTACAAATTCGTCCAGTCGTTTCAGCATGTAGGAGTAACATACAAACAAACATACATAAAAACTTTCACATTTATAATAGTAGTCTGTTATTAATAATAAATTAAATTTCATAATAAATAAATTCATACTCACTTAGGAACAATAACAAGCAGTGTTGTTAGATATTCGCTATCCAGAATGAAGTGCTCGCGCTTGACCAAGTCGGCCAAGTTACGAGTTAGAAGACTTCCGCTGAAATATTAAATTAGTTTTATTAATATTATTTTCATATTAAATTATTTTTAAGTCGTTAAATTAAAATTTATGATTACTTATAAATTTGTTATAAGTCTTCAATAACTAAGAAAACATGAAGAAAAAACAAAACAGAAAATATTTTAAAACTATTGTACTATATCAATATTATTTTCATATTAATTAAATTATTTAATAATTCGTTACATTAAACTTTTATTGAGAGATATTGAAGAAAAATAAAAAAAAGTTATATTCATTATAAAGATATTATAATATTACATATAAATAAATACACTTACGTCTGTTTCTTCTCTAAATTCTGTAAGTTACCCTTGAGAGCATTATAGGCTGATGATTTCACCTTCAAGTCGGCATCGATCTGACCCACCTGTTAGAGTAGAAATAACAATTACTATTAGAGATATCTCAAAGAGACCAATAAACAAACAAAACATATCAATATAAACAGTTTCCTTCATTACAAATAAAGCTAATTCGTTATGATCATTACTTTGTATTGGAATTATTTTTATTAGACATAATTTGTCTCAAATTCTTATTTTACATAACAAATGTTAATTTTAAACAACGTTTATTGTATTAATAAGTGGTTTTTACGTCTTACATAAATAAATTTATCATATTATTTGTTACATAAGTCAGAACTCATAAAGCTAAGTAATAAAATTAGATAATTTTATAAATATTTGACTTATAGGTATATTTCCTATCTTTAAATTTAAATAAAAAATCTGGTGTGTGTGTGCGTTCAAAATTCTTGTTCTCTTAAATGGCTTGGCCGATTTTGATGAGTTTTTTAATGTACTTTAATGTGTATGGTAAGTGACGCTATTGTTGAGATCGAGAAATATTTTTTCTTTTTTTAATGTTCATTCAACAAACCTGTTTACTGATGATATCGGCGATGTTACGAAGACTCTGCTTGATGGGATACTTAGCCATGTCCCATTGGAAACGAGTCAGATACGTGGGCAGGTCGCCTGTAATGTATTCCCAAAAATATATTTAATATACAAATAATACGTTTTAAATATGAAAACCAACGTTATTTTGTCTATATTTCGTCATAGTTCTTAATCTAACGTTGATTAACATACTAAATAATTGTTATTTAAATATTCAAGCTGTCGCAAATCACATATTTAATATATTATTCTTTTTATTTATTTGTGATTTGGACAGTTTGAAACTACAATACACTTTCATTTTAACAAATATCTAAAAATTTCATAGGAAAATAAATAATAATGCTAAAAATAATAAAAATAAAATAAATATAATTTTGTTCATATATTTTGAATCTATGAAATGTTTAGTTAGCTCTTAATACTTTTTTTAAATAATATAAAATATTCAATTTTATTACACAGATGAAAATATTTTTGTTGTTATATGAGTAATAAAATATTTTCATTTACTCTATGACATGACAAAAAAAAAACAAAAATGGTATAAGTAGCGAAATTAATATTTTGTTTTTGTGTAAGTGCTGAATAAAAAAATAACAAAAGGATAAATAAGCAAAACACAGGTGTGTACAATAAAATAAAACAAATTTCAATAAAACTAATCCTATAAGCACACATCATGCAATTTATACATCAGACATAACATAGTCGTACGACAATTATTAACGCTATCATTACACTAAGGATATTTTAAATATCATCTGTAAATGTTTGAATTGGTGAAATTGTACAATAATTTTGACATTTTTAATACACCCACAATATTCAACGAATATCATTAATATTAAATTTTAGACCTATTTTGTATTACATTTAAGTAAAAATGGATTCCTTTAGGAAATCCTTTCTGTCTGATATGTGACTTCGCTTGCGCCATGTATTTTTTGGACGTATGCATGTACCTACACGGTAATCTAACGAGATTATACGAGTAGAGTATGTAAATTAATGATTTTTTTACTTTGAAAGCCAGGCCAGGGAGTAAAAAAGATTTAATTTATTAAGTGTATTAACTAACATAATATCAAATATAATAGTATTAGTTGTGAGTATATGCGTACGTACATAAATATATTTTCAACACTTTTACGATTCCAGAAATCTTTTTCTGAAACTACAGAACATACGTTTTTTATATTTTATATTTAAAATATATAGTTTTTTATATTTAAAAATATGTTTTTTTTTCTACGTATTTTTTCTGAAACTACAGAACATACGTTTTTTATATTTTATATTTAAAATATATAGTTTTTTATATTTAAAAATATGTTTTTTTTTTTACGTATAGTTTACAGTAAAAATAAAACTGATACAATTTCCATGACGTACGGGATCCTTTTAAATTAGGAATTCAACTTTTCATTTGACAGATGATGTTTAATAAGTAATAAAAGCATGCATAAAATACCATAATAAACCATGCACAAATACATGTCAAACCTCATAAGTAAAATAATATATCAAATGATCTAACATACGCTAAGCTAATATCGATACATCAATATTAATAATACACAATATACAACACGTAACAATTTCCTAAATATTTTTTTTAAATATAGGTACAATGAAACGATCTCCTAGAACACCAATGAAAAATAGAATTCTGAAAAAAAAAACAGATTGTTACTTACTTAGGTTAAGTTTTCTACGAAAGATGAATTTATAACATTTCAATTACGTTTTTTTGCGGATGCTCTAAATTGAATATTTAAAAAAAAATAAAGATTTATATCATTTTTTTTAACATTATTAAACGATCTAATTAAATGCTGAGCAAAGGACGTTATGATAAAAGTATGTATTATATATTTTTTTTAATCTAGGTCAATGAAAATTTGATTAATGCTAACGACTGTAAAGAAAACAAGTACAATATTTCATTCATCAAAAATAGTAACGGAACTATTTTATGGAGGTCGAATGTAAATTTATTATTAGATACAATAGCGAATGATGCTTTTCAGAATAAAAAAATGGGGTGTCGAGATTGATTTCTGTAGCGCGTAAAAAATAATAGCTAAAAAGGACAAAAAATAATAATAAAAAAAATACACTTGGCAACTTAAAAATTAAATAAATAGTAGAACGTAAAAAAATTAAATGTTTTGTGTAAGAGAAAATAAAATAAAATTGGGAAATATAAAAAAAATATTTGGAATTAGTTTGCAGAAACAACAGTTACGTTTGTAAGTATAAAATGAAAAAAAAAAAAAACACCGTGACTTTTGTACTTACAAACTGTATTTATTTGTAGCCGTCATAAGCAACATCCACAACGTGAAGTGTGTAATAAAATGTATGAATATATAGATGATGACCTAAATAATTGCGTCTTATAGCGTCAGCCTAAACTTTTGTATTATTGTTATTTATTACCCATAAACATTTAAACTAAAAATAGGTATGTACTTTTCTAAAAATGATCGATTTAGTGAAAATTCAGGTTGGCGCTTTCAAAACTTATTAAACGTCTAGCGCCACCTGTCTAACTACATAATTTAGTCTACGAAATTAAGACAAAAAAAAACACGCAACCACTGCCTTCACATGTAAATAACCTTAAAATTCAAGGCAAAACCATCGCACAGGTAGCGCTAGCGCTATATAAATATGTTCTTTATACAACTAGCCTGATTACGACCTACCAGGTCTAAGAAGCATTTTGAACAGTATTTGAGACTGATTATCGATTTAGCGTTAGTGTTAACTTCAAGCTTGCAAAAGCCTCAAATTCCGGTCAAATAGGACAAAGGATTAGGGGTTAGGAGTTTCGACCCTGAACCTTGCGTCAGGATGTGGTGCGGGCGGTCTTCATCATCTTCCTCGTCCCACCGCGGTGAACTGCGGCCGCTGGACGGTTGCGAGGGGTGAGACGCCTCGCAATCGGAGTGCTCCCGATGTTCACAAGGCCAACAGCCGTGGTGTTCAGAGTAAGCCGAGTCGCAGACCGGCGACGTAGGCGTGGGGGGAGGCTCACCCCCGCCAGGGTCCGCGTAAGAGTCGATGCCTGGATTCGGCAGATTTGTTGGCAAACAGGCTGATTTAGCAGCCTCCTTTATTTTTGACTTAGTGATACTAAAAATCTGGCCGACTTTGTACTGATCGTGCCTTTTGGAACTTCGTATTAGCGAGTTCTCTACCAACTCTGCAAAATATTTTTTCCTATTTACTATTTAACTTACACGATCATATCCCATTTTTATGACGGCCATAAAGTTATTTCAATGCTCATCCTTGCGTGTAAGTACAGATAAAATCGTAATGCACGAAATGATCCATCAAAATGTTAAATTTTACGCTTTCCTATCGTTAACGCCTAACGCTTTAATGAACTTAGGATTAAATAAAAATATAGGATATTATTAAAGGAAAGGATTGAAGAAATATAAATTAAATAATAAAAAAAAAAGATATGAACTAAAACGTATTAAAAAAAAACTAAATTTATAATAATAAGAAGCAAGAAGCATGGACGATATGTAAGCTTCATAATATGGCTAAGCTATGAATGTTTGTGAGGCAGTGATTGCGATGATTTATTGAACGATTACAAATATTCTTAAATTATAAACCTGTGCAATAGTTTACAGCACTCTCCAAAAACTATTACACTTTTTATTGCTTAAATAAATACAATAACCATTAGAATATGTCATATCGTTGTATCATATTGCTTACAATCGGCAGAATCTAAAATTAACCTACATGGTTTGTTTTAGCTCTTATGGATAAATATTTGCCGTTCCTATACTACCACCTGTATACGCCACACTATAACTCGACGAAATATTGACTCATTTCATGTTTTAACCACACTATAACATAACAAAATATATGTAATGCTACAGATCAAAAGAATTTATTAATATAAACATAGCCGTGTCTTCATCTTAGCAACTGAATTACGTAATTCAATGTGAGATAAAAGATTAGTCGAGAACCATTCATTTATCTTTCGTCGTAATATCTAAAAACGTACATCCATTCAATTTCCATTCCTAAATATTTTTGTAGCTAGATTAAAATTTCCAAATTCAGTTTTTAATATTTAATTATCGATAAATATTATCGAGACATCGAAAAAAAAAAATTATTTTTCGAAATACGTCAAAAAAATAATATTTTGCGGTGAATTGTTTTTGTCCAAATACGAAAAGCTTAAAAAGCGAATGTTCATTGGTATACATAATTTGAATTATCTAAACATGACTTGCGAAAGTAATAAATAGCATCTTTATATATATAAATTATATTTTAGAACTTATAAAGCTCTAATACGTATAAGCTATCACATAATACACTCTAATACATATATTACACATAATTACTCACTTCCGCAAACTTTTTTCCATTTTTCTGACACTGAAATGCAATTCCAAAACTAACATTCACAATCTAAGTGTAATTCATATCATCTAAATACCATAATAGACAGCCCGTGAAAATGCAGAACAAGCTAAGAACAGTAAAGTATAAAATTATCACGCCAATATGTATACGCAAGTTTTCACACGTAAAATCAAAATTAAGAACTATAAATATGGTAAAAAAGCTATAATAAAATCTTAAAACGTTGATATTGTATAAAAAGCTTCGCGTGTAAACATTTTATTTATGATTCATGGCAATATACATGAAACGATGTAACACAAATATGTAAATTTCAAAATGTCTGCTGGATTTTACGAATGAGAAATATTAAAAAAAAGGTGCACCTAAAGTTTTCTGACGTAGGTAATATATAAAACCTTATGAGATCGAACAATAAAAAAAAATTAGCATTCCACACAAATCGATAAACTAAACGAGGCTCCAAATGGGTCCATCTAAAGGAACCTCCCCAACTAAATTAAAGACACTGTCCACTCAACATTCTTAGCTTAAAGTAACTTGTTGAGGCCAAAACTTAAAATATATAACGAATCTTTATTTTAATCGTTGGAAAAATATAACATAGTAAGTTTCTAAAGATATTTTATACTTCTTGTTCCTTACAAAAATGTAGTGATAGAAATAAATTGGGCAAATCTTTTGATAAAGATTCGTTGACTTTTGGTTTATTAAAACATATTTAATATAATATATTACATAGAAGTTAGTGCTGAATATAACGAAGTGATAATTTATAGTAATAATAATGTGATGTGTTATGTGTGATGCTTGACATCAAATTAAAAATAGGTACATATGTACAAATTTTGAACAAACTGATTGTGCGATTTGTGTATATTTGCAAATAATACAAATATATATAAAAAATGGTACACTGACTAAAATATTGACCATAAATTCATAAATAAATTTGTCAGTGACCAGTAAAGTAATAAAAAAAACATGCAAAATATTATACATAAATTTATAAATAAAATAAATTCAAATTATAAAATAAGAAAAAAATAAAAGGTAAATAAAAAAAAATTCAAAGACCACCGAAATCCAGCGTCATGCTAATATTTTTCGCACTACTGTGTGCTTTTAAGGTTTTATTTGTCTACCTTATTCCATTATTTTCTATTTTTAATTAGTTCTCATGCTGGCAACATCATTTTTCTCTTAATTAACCATAGCTTTATTTTCTCTAATCAAGATTCCCCAAACATGCTACAGAATATATTCTGTCTATAGTTTGAATATATTTCATGCATTTTAAAATTGTTTTAAAATAGTCATTAACACTAATTTTCTAGTACATATCGTATTTTTCTAGATCGTAAATAATTCGGCGAAAATGGCACTAAACAAAGAAAATTTAAAATTGCTTTAGTGATAAAAAACTATTCATTTATTTAATACAAAAATGTTTAATGCCATAGTAAATGCATTTAAAAAAAAAAAACAAAATTTGACTTACTGTTGTTTGCCATTAGATTCTCGTGAAGTTTATCACGTTGATCTTCTAGTACCTGTTTAAAGGAAATATATACTATATCAATCAAATTAATACAAGAAATTCAAAAAAAAAAAGAAGAGAAAATATAAATAATATATAAACTTTACAATTTGTTATCCTAATTTATCAAGTTTCACACCAAAACATATAGACTCATTTATTAACGACTGTTTATATGTCGACATAAAATTTATAGCGACCTATTAAATCTTTAGTAAGCTCGCAAATCTTAAATCTCTTTTTAAGAAAAATAAATTAGTAAAATAATTTATATTAAGCTAAAACGGGATAGTGAAAAATAGTAATTAAAAAATTTTTTTTAGATTAGACCCTCATCATCACATCTGAACAATTTGGTAGATTGATTTATTTTATTTATTTATTTACATAATATAAAATTTAAATATAAAAGTCTGAAAAAAAACATTTTTTTATTATTTATTTCATTAATATGTACCTATAATTACATGGTACGAAAATTATTATTAATAAAACCTACTTTAAAGTTAATAGCAAAAAAAAATAATGCATTTGTGGTCTCATAATACAAAAACTGTGTGACAACTAACACAATAAATATCTTAAACCTGATAAATTTATCGATTTATTAATCAAAGAAAACTGGCGATGTTCCTTAAAACAATAGACTCTAGTATTAAAAATATATAGTTTGTAATTAGAGTTATAGATATAAGTTTTTATGATTTCGACATCTATATAGATAATTAAAATTGAGGTGTCTGTTTGTGGTGACAAAATAACAGCTTTTTACTAAATACACACGGTACTTATAAGAAAAACACATTTTTAAATTTTTTGTCGGTCTGTGTGTTCTGGCTAACCACCAAAACGGTTGGATCGATTTTGACGGGACTTTCACTGGCAGATAGCTGATGTTATAAGGAGTAACTTAAGCTAATTTTATTTTAGAAAAATTATTAGGATTCCACGTACATAAATTAAAACCTTTGAACCTACCATTTAATGTTCTATCTCATATGGGACTAAAAATCTATGTACATATACTAGCGACTCACCCTCGCTTCGCTCAGGTTCGTCCCTAGCTACATTTTAACGATTAGCGTGGAATAGATATAACTTGTTTTCCCTAGGAACAAAATAATCTACCATGGTAAAAAGTAGCCTATGTCACTCTCCAGCCCTCTATCTTCACACAAAGAAACGCGACAATCTGGCACTTTATTTCGATGTGAAAAGAGGACAAACAAAGAAACAAAGTCACCGTCAAATTATACTTTATATTAATTTTAAGGTTGCATTCATAATTATAATGTAGTAGTTAGGAAAAAGAAAAATATGATTTTTACGTTTTTCCGTGATTTTTTTCTAATTTTTCTCTTCATATGAAGCTTCCCCGGACTTTAGTGTATTTTTGCAAAATATAGGCTAATTAGTACAGCCGTTATGGAGTTCTGCGCTAAGCAATTTTTATTTATATATATATAAAACAAAGTTGGGCTAGTTACACCATATAATCACTCCACGACCGCGGATACCCCGAGGAGTCAGTTAACAATAGATTTCTTAGAATTTTAATTAATTTCTTAGAAATTCCCTTCGAGGTGATAATCAAGAATACATGAAAAAAATTGTTGCATAATAGCTATTTATATTTATTTAAAACATACCTAGACGCACCCGAGCAAAGCAAGGATACATCACTTTAGTTTATATAAATAATGTCATAAATGTTTAGAAATAATAATACAATCACGAGTTATTTGGAAAAATGTCTTCTTTTTATATTAATACCTGTACTGTTCATTTAACCTATTTATGAAAAATTTTACAAGTTGTTAAATGAAACACAAATGTAGTAGATATATAACTGAATAGAAATACCATTATCATTATAATATTATCATATAAAAATCAAATGTCAATAAGCTGATTAAAATATAGTGCTTGACAATCATAATAAATTATTTTGAGAATATTATACTTAACAATAACTTACCTCACCGAGATACTGAGCGACTTTCCTAGTAACACCCTCAACAAAGGTATCAAGCTTACCCAGGTCATCAGATAACCCTACCAACTGATCCAATGTACCGACCTGAAAAAAAATGTAAAGTATTTTTTTATCCTGCAGTCACATAATCACATTAACATCTTAGAAGTTCACTAAGGATTTTAAAGCTGAACTAAAACATCGACAAAAATTATCTTATTAGATTAATATTTAAAAAAAATTGAAATTATACCTATTCTATTTGTATTTAAGAAATTTTCATAAAAAACTACATGTATTTTTTATGTATTCAAAAAAAATATTTATAATCATAGTTAACAGAATAAGCAAGATGTATAAAATATGATACTAAATTCAAAAAATTGGAAAAAGAAAGATTAATCAAATACAAAAAATATTGTACAAAAATGTAGTAAAAGTAATATTTATATCCACTAGAATTTAAATGTTCTATTTATTATTTGTAGAAATAACACATTAGTTAAAAGTATTATAATATAAGTTATGGTAAAATGCAAGAACAGCTCACCTTCAGGTCAGGTATAGGGAATTTATAGTTGACACTAAGGTTACCCGATTTAGTGGCATTATTCAGGGTATCCCAGGTCTGTTGGCAAGTTTTGTCGCCAGGGGCACTTATCAGCCAATATTCACTCATCTTGGTCACTAAAAACACAAACAATTTAATTAATTAGGCGTATTATCTATAAATATGGTATGGTATATGTAATAATGTAGCTATTACCACGGCCTTCACATGTCTAATACCAATAAAATATCATGTCTTGTCGGGATAATCGATTTTACAAGTCCTACGTTCATGGGTGCAAGACGCTGTATGATATTTTTAACGCTATTTTCGCATCTCACGTACAGTGCAGTGAATCAATATCGAGTCCAGGCCAACGGCGCCCACTCAGTCGACAGACATCCTGGCGCCAGTCTAGTTTTACCTAAGAAAATCGCCCTATTTCCACCCTAACGTACACCCCTGCTATTAATTTTGACAATCCATAATCGCGCGCAAATACACTTTACAGCCATATGATGCATTATGTTAGCCATAAAAATCCACTATACTCACCCGGTATTTAAAATTTGATGCTGTTTAACACTAAATATTCGAAACAGCAATTTTTTGGTGAAATCACAAGACGATACGGGACTAGCCCTACAACACCGCCATGAAAATTCACGTGATGCTGTGCTGCCATCTACAACTAATAATATTGGACAGCTGATTTACGTCAATTGTCTATGGAACATTGCAAGGTTGATTCATTAGATTTTTTCTAAACAATTTTATAATATAATTTTATGACTAATTTGATAACAACAACGCAGTGGCTGTCATCGTTATGATTTTATGCGTATTTCACAAATAATTTATTAACATCATAAATAGCTACAATAAATCTAAATGAACAATATATTTATGTTCGTTTAGTTTTTTAAACAAATGTCAAAATTAAAAAGGAAGTTATTTGTTAGCCAGCAATTTAATTATTTTATTTTAGAAATACTTGAAATATTTTATTATGAATGCTGATCTGTATGTAAAATAATAAAATAATCGCCTTTGATTTGCTTAATACAAAGTATTTATATTCTAATCAAATCTTTTTAAATCTCTGGTATTCGTGACGGCTTCTTTTTATTGCACATGCTCTAAAGTCTATCATAACCTAGGTCTATGCAAAGCTGAAAGCAATAGCATATATATAATCTATTTTCTATAGATTTTCTATGCTAACGTCAATGTCATATTTGCATAAAAATTGCCTATAATTTTGACAAAAATGCGAATATACAACTATTTATGTAAAAAAGTCGGTGAACTTACAGTAAAATACTCCAATTTACCAGAAAGCTATATAAAACGCAGCTATGAGCAGGTTATGTATCATAACTTTAATGTTCATTTTTCACAATTGGTATAAAATATAACCTAATAATATTTTCCTTATGCAGGTCTATTGGAAGAATCCAACGGGTTATCCACAATATCCTGCTGTCCAAATAGCACGTAAAAAATTTCGATTCACTACAAATAGACCATGGACGGTACAGTTTGCACGACAAAACGAACGCACTAAACTTCGTAAGAAGGTCTTTCTAGAACCTGTTGGAGAATGGAGTTTCTTCAAGTATGCTTCCTTTACAAATACTTCAAGATAATTTTTTCCATCAATGAATAGAAATATATAGTATAATAATAATCCATTTAGTATTAATAACATAATTAATTCAAACTTTCTTGATTATTATAATATTATATAGGTATGTAACTAGCATTGCACGCGGCTCCGCCAGCGTTCAGATGACCAAAAACCAAATACTTAGGTTTTACATATTATTATACTCTTACATTGCACTTTTTGTATTTTTTTTTTCAGAAATGAGACTTTTTCTCATGGTAAAAAGTATCCTATATGTTGACCCGGATAACCAGCTATCAGCATACCAAATTTCATCAAAATCCCTCCAGTGGTTTTTCTGTGATGTGGTAACAGACAGACAAACATTCTAAAAACTAGATTCGGCCTCTGTATTGATAATAATGTTTATTTCAATAAGATTTTCCAAAAACTATTTAATGTACAGATTTGGCTATAGATTAAATTTTTATAATGTTTTCCTTATAGAGGCGATAGAGTGGAAGTAATGGTGGGCAAGGATAAAGGCAAGCAAGGAATAGTGAGTCAAGTTATACAAGAAAGAAACTGGGTCATAGTTGAAGGACTTAATACTCATTTTAGAACTGTGAGTTTTGAATTTGCTTTGATTTTACAAACTAATTATATTAGATTATTTACAATATAAACTGAATATAAAAAGTTTAGTTATGTATAAAATTGTAATTTCTCGAATAAATATTTTGATGATATTTTATTATATTGTACCTATTTTCTTAAAAATTTAAATTAAAATTCCATATAAATTTCAAAACAAACTTACTTTTAGGTTGGTAAAGACAAAGACTTCCCGGGTATAACTATTCAGTCCGAAGCACCTCTATTAGTCACAACTGGTGTGAAATTGGTAGATCCAGAAACTTTGAAAGCAACCGAAGTTGAGTGGAGATTTACCGAAGAAGGAGAAAAGGTATAAGAATTTATTGAAAATATCGTTTTAATTTACATTTGTAAATTATTATTCATCTGTTTCTCTATCTACTTAATTATATTGCTATTCTTATTAACTAAGCTGTTTTGACTGCATCTGGTCTAGTAGTTAATTATGTATGGCTACAGATTTGAATATCTTGGGTTTGAGTCATGAGTTAGAACATGTTTATTTTTGAGTTTTTCTTCTAAGAAATTACTAGACCTACCTGCACATAATCTCTCATTTGTCATGTGTGAAATTGTTGTTCCATCAGACTGTCAGAATGATAGGAATAGAATGTGCACTTGTGTTTGTGATCATTATTAGCACTATAAAATAATTACTTAAACCGATGGCACTAATAATATAATTAATATATATTTAACAGGTGAGAGTATCGACCAGCAGTAGTCGCATTATCCCCATACCAAAAGCCGCAGAAGAAACCATGGATTATAAGAGCAAGGAGCTATATGTGGATAATGCGGAGAAGGACACGGCAGCTGATGTTGCTACACAGGTATGAACAAATTTATTTTCTTTTTTAAATTAATAATTCAAACACTCCCTAACACAACAACCTATTCATTGAAGCCATTTTAATGAGCTTAAGAACACTCTTGATCAAGTCATCTTTCAAATAAAGAAATTAAATTAAAATCGGTTCATCGTTTAGGGACTATGATGTCACAGACAAACACAGATACACACATTAAACTTATAACTCCCATCTTTTTGTGTCGGGGGTTAAAAATGACAATTTATGCTACTTGACTGTCAGGATGTAGTAAAGTTTTGCAAACAATTTCTCTTTATAATGCTATATTTATATTTCTTAGACTGATTTCAAAGAGATTTCAAAGAGCTGATATCTTCAATTGATTTTCATTAGTTGGGCCAATTACCTACAGTTATTGGGTTTATTTGTCAAGATATAATATGTTACCGTAGGTTGAATCTCGTTTTTGTAATATTAAGTTTTGTAATATTGTATGCATTAGGGTGGAGCTAAAAAAAATGTTTATTTTTCCTAGCTTGGGGGTAGAATTTGTAGCTTATAAAACAACAAATTTTTTGAAATAATTTTTTTTTCTCAATGTTTTGAGGTGGCTCACTGATTTTTAAAATAATTACAATTTAAATTTTTGGTTAGAATGAAAAAAAATTTACTCCACCCTAATATGTATGCTGATAGCATATGCCTGCATATAGAAAAATGCAATCTCCCGTGTATAATTTTTTTATAAATGTGTTTGATTGTCATTTGCTTTGTGGACCAATAAACAAAAAAAAAACGATATTCTCAATATCTTACTTACATGACAGCGTGAATATTTCATTTAAATAGTGTTTTTTTTTTAGATCACATTTGCACCAAAACTTCGTACGTTTGAAATGGACATTATGGAAGCAATGGGCATCAAAGAAGACAGAGTGCCCGCTAAATCATATTGGTATTAGATGAACGTGTAAACAAATATAGTTTTTAAATAAATTGTATTAGTAAATTATAGATTTTTTATTTTTTACTAATTTTTATCTAAACTTTTAAAAATTTTATTCACTACTTTATATTGTCCACCTCTGGTTGTTCATATAGTTTTCTAATAATACATTTAGTAGTAGTGTAGTTCAATGGTGACGCGCTCGCTTGGGAAACCGAGTGAAGTGGGTTCGAACCCCGGGTCTCGCATCTCTGATATTCTCATGTGGGAATTTCCAACATGATTACCACTTGCCTTACGGTGAAGGAAAACATCGTGAGGAAACCTGCATGTCTGAGAGAACCTAGCAAGTTTTCGAAAGACATGTTTAGTCCGCCATCCCGCACTTGGCCAGCGTGGCCAGGGTTTTTTTACATTGATTGGTTATAAACGCCGAAATATTCTTTATTTCTTGCCAAAATTATAGGATGTTACGAATTTTTGTCCTTGACAAATGATTTTTTCCAAAACAAAATTTGAACCTCTATTTCACCCCTTTCAAATTTCAATCTTGCGACAAAGCTTACCTATTCTATGTTCTTCTCCGAGTACCCATCCATGTCTATACTAAACTTCAAAGACAGACAGATAGAGTTATTTTTGCATTTATAATATTAATATGGATGGTAACCACTACGAAGTGAAAATGTATACATATTATATTCTTTATTGCACAAAATATTCTTTATTGCACAATATAATAAAATTGTAATTTTAAAATTGTAGCCGAATCTGTAAATTGAATATTTTTTGGAAAATCTTATTGAAATAAACATTATTATCGATACAAAGGCCGAATCTGTAGTTTTTATAATTTTTGTCTGTCTGTCTGCCTGTTTGTCTGTTACCGCATCACAAGAAAACCACTGGACAGATTTTCATGAAATTTGGTATGATGATAGCTGGTTATCCAGGTCAACATATAGGATACTTTTTACCGCGGGAAAATGTCTCATTTTTGAGAAAAAATACAAAAACTGCAATGTAAGAGTATACGCGGGCGGAGCCGCGGGCAATGCTAGTACATCTATAATATGCTTTTAAACTGTTAAACAGAGAGAGATCTGTCAAATATAATTTTTATTCTTATTTTTAAATTGTAACTGATCGCTGTCTGTACATGGAAGATATTTGAGAAAAACTATTATTGGGGGTTTTTACTAACGCAATAGAACCTAAAACTATGATTTTTAAAATTTTTGTCTTTTTGTCTGTGCGCGCTAATCTCAGAAACGGCTTAACCGATTTGGGTGCGATTTTCACTAATGTATTGTGATAAGCTTAATTTAACATTTACTATATGTTTTATTTCAATCACTTCATATATAAAAAATTTATGTCAATTTAAGAACCACCTAGAGACCAACGCGAGCGATGCGAGGGTGAGTCGCTAGTTTAAAATTCGATTGTACCTACATACATATTATTGATGGTTAATTATACTAAATAATTTAATATATTATTTTTTGCATTAATAAACTTGTTCAATTCAACAATAAGTGTAGACGTCACAATTGTACAATGATAATTATAAAATTTAAATTGTAATTTATGAAATGAGTGACTAAAATATATTGTCTGATAACAAGCGTTAGCAAAAAATATACCTATTATAAAAATAAAATATCCGACTGCGTAAAAACAAACTATCAAGATGAAAACAAGTTGTAGAAATAACAATATTATGCATTCGGAGACATACTCGTATTATGCGCGATATTGGCAGCAAGTAACAATATGTACATATATCAACTCGCAATAACTTTTTATCTATTTAATTTAAAACGTACCTAGGGACGACGCACCCGAGTGAAGCGACGGAAAGTCGCTAGTCTATCTATATAGATATAACAAGCGACTCACCCTCGCTTCGCTCGGGTTCGTCCCTAGCTTGCTTCCCAATACAAAATTTCATCCCCATTTTCACTGCCTTAAGGGATGATTATCGGGATAAAAAGCCTGTCCTTCCTAGGGTCTCAAACCATCTTCTTACCAAATTTCATCTAAATCGGTTCAGTAGATCCAGAGATTACCTACCCCCTACAACGTCACAAACTCACAATCTCACAAACTTTTCCTCTTTATAATATCAGTATAGATTAAATAGCAACAAAGCGAAATCTGTACGTACATGATTTTTTTAAGAACATATCTTTTGCATAGTGTGTACAGAATAGACTTTAAAATAATAATTATTTAAATTTGATCTGTTTGTCTGTATATCTGTTTACTTTTCACGCAAAAAGACTGAACAGATTTTAACTAAATTTTGTCTAGTATTAACTTATTACTCGAGTCAACATTTAGAATTCCTTTTACTATAGGAAGATCTTTCATTCCCACCGGAAAAAACAATAACTGAGTCGTTTTAAATAAAACTATCTTTTCGGATTTTGTCGCGGATTTATTTGCATTTTTGTTTGAGTCGTTCTTAGAAATTTACATGGCTACTGTTGGTTAAACCTTTAGAGATAGGATCAAAACAATGTACTAGAAAATATAGGTCTGAAGAAAATGCTGCAGCGTTCTATTGGAATCTGCAAGATTCCAATTGAACGCTTAATTTCTTTACTAAAATACTACAGAGATATCGTGTTTAGGTTCATAGAAATGGCCTCAATACATTGGTTCTTGTGTAAGGGGATTTTGATTTTTTAATTTCAGAGTTATTTGAATAAGTACCTTATATTTGCTTTTAGTTACCTATGGAAGATAAAAAACAACCAGTTTTTACTCTTCTCCTTTAGGCTTGTATATGGACACACTAACATATAATATGCCTTGATAAGATATATTTTTTTTTAATTGTTATCATTTTCTACATAGATACTTATTCAAAAATGCCCTAGTTTTAGTCATTGTCAATGGAGGACATGCAACTTTAGATTAGGTAAGTATGCTATTAGATTAATATGTTTTGATGAATTGTTTAGCTGCTGGCAACATTTCTATCCAATTAATTGAGGCCACTTTTAATACATAAAAGAAAGAAAGAAATTAAATGTGGCACTCGGAGACTGCCGCGGTAAAGCTATTGCATAGCATTTTTTATCAACTTATGCAATTATAATTATTTATTTATTTTATTAATGCAGTATTTCTTTTCCTTGACTTTCTTCATTAATAAATGCACTTTGTTTATTCATATTTAAAACACTTTGTACACAAATTATACGAGTACAGATATTCACTGTTGTACATAGATGATAAATACCTATACACCTATATACTTTCTCACAAACAGCTGATTACGGTAGTTTTCCAATACAACCAATGCCACCTAAAGGCGGGTTGCTGAACTAAAGAGACTAGCGTGATATTTCAAAAAGTCATTAAAAGTCCTGGTATTTATCGATAGATGGAAAAACTAAAAAGTATCACCGCTGTGCCGGTCGGAGTGGGGGGTGTCAGGTTTTTTCGTTACGGAATTTCTGGATTCGGTCCCCACGCTCAAGGCCCGCGATAGAAGCTATGCAATAGCTTAAAAACACAATTATTTAATACTACAATAAAATAGTACTTATTACAAAATATAATCCACTTTGCTAACTAGTTAGCAAGTTATCTAACTTATCTTTATGGTTTTGTCCATATTTTAAAAGCCATTCTTACGTGAAATGTACTGTTTCTAATATAGATTGAAGGATATTTGTGCGTTGTGGAAAACAACTCTTGACTTCTGAGATCTATTTTTTTTAATGTACAATTTCATTTTAAATACATATTTCTATTTTGAAATATTTCATTTTTTTTAATGGCTTATAGTTGCGTTAACAGACGCAATCCATTCTGCCAGTATTTCATTATTTATTAAGTTTTCAAAATATTTAATGTGTCTATTTTGACACATTTTAGAGCTTATAAATAAAAAAATATATTAATCTTTCTTTAACTATTTGAAGAAAAAAAAGATCCTTTTATTATTGCGCAATAATAACAGATTTTTTAAAGACTAGATAATTATATGGTAATGATACACAATCGTTATCTAAATCTAATAATAATATAATGGTATAAATCTAAATTATCTTTAGAAAAATAAAAATCTTCGATTTACGTCAAATTATAAGTTTTAGTGCAATTGATCCTTTTATAAAACCATATAAAATCTTACGTACTAAGGGGGAGGGGGAGTCCGAGAAATCTTATATGCTCTTTCCGGGGGTAGGACTGTTAAAAATGGCCAAAATTGTTCTTACGTAATTAATGAACGGCCCCTAAAAGGCTTGATCGATTTTCATGACATTTATTTTGTGTACTAATGGGGTTCTGGATGGTTCCTAGCTTTAGGTTCTAACTCATAACCTACTTCTTTATTAGGTACGTTTGTAATACTTACAGTCCTGGATAAATCCACCAAACTGGTGTAAGCACCAGGGGCATTCGGGGCTATTGCCTAGGGCGGCAAATTTTTAGGGGCGGCAACATTCAGAGGGTGGGAAAAAAAATTTCTTCGCGTTATCGAATATGCGGTTTTTTATTTAAAAAAAAATGAAAAATAAAAAAAGATTAACTAGTAGGTAAATTTATCGGAAAATTGATCCCATTTACAAATTATTTCTTTGCATTTTTCAGAAACATAATAATTAAAAAAAATTAAACTTTCAACATTTTATTCAAAATTGTGATAATATGGCGGCATTTTTTACTATGCCCAGGGGCGGCACTAAGTACTTATATATGTAAAAACAAATACAAAGGTAATTAAGGTATATATCTGTTGGGTCCCTAATAAAACTTGGAGATATTTCTTGCTTATATTCTTGTATTCAGTACTTTTATAATCGTCAGTGAGTTACATAATTTATAATCATAATTTTCAGTATTACAAACAATTCGTGCCTAGTCACTACATGGTGATACCGACATCTCTGTGCAAAAATCTCTGTGTCTCGGGAAAACCAAAGAATATCCGCGCCTTTTTTTTTTAAACACATTCCTATCGGCCAAGGTCACATAAGTAAATGCCTTATA